ATTTGCAGAGGCATTCCTTAATTTTTATGCATTTTCTATATTAGTGCAATATGAGAGCAACACTGGTAAAACAGTCTTTATAAAAACATATGGTATCAGCATTACTTTTGGGGTAATTGATACATGATGGTGTATAGGTGGTCAGAAACAGAACCATATACTGTACAGTATAGAGGAATGATTCTGGAGACATTGTTGCAGGAGAACAAAGGTAAAAAATTTGTAAGAACACTTAAAAACTTATTATACTGTACAATTTTACTTACTGGGCTTGAACCCCCATGAGGGCATATTTTGGCTAAACATAATTTGTTTTCTCAATCTACGGTAAAAAACTGGTGCAGTATTTCAGGCATAAATTTAGTACAGTCACTCCAAGCATACCGTTGTGGCTGGTGTGCACATGGTACCGTACATCCATGACCATGACCATGACCTCTGGTGGGGTGGGGAGGGGCAGTGAATGCCATTGTCTGCATAACTGTTACCACTGGCAGCCTCAACAAAGTCAACATCATCTAGGTCTGTTTCCTCCCCATCACTGTCTTTGTCAACTGATACTATATCAATGTCACTCAAATCAAGCAACTCTTGATAAATAGCACTACTGTCGAGGGTGGGGAGGGACAAGGCGGGTCATGAGACGTCAAAAGACATGCATCCACCATGATAGCTAGTGTTTAACTGGACCACTAGACTTGAGACAAAGTTGCCAAGTAGATAAATCTCCTATACAAAGTATACTTCATCCTGCCAGGACATTTAAACTATGCCGCAAAGCCACAAAATTAAGGACGTAGAGGAACATCACCCAGGGTCACTATAGTGGATGTAGAGGAATGTCACCCAGGCTTTAAGGGTTAAGAGTATACAATAAAATATTTTATTTGTGTCTAAAATGAAGTTCAAAAGAAATTTTACTTGTTACTCATTTTCATCCATAAATCTTCCCAATGTCCTGTGTCCTACCTAATCAATCCATGCTCAGAGTTTCCTGTAGTTGTGTACTATTGGCCAAACACTTAAAATTTTGCATACTTGAGTTGAATTTTATTTATTAAGTTTTCAATTTTGTCATATAACAGGAATGTTTCAAGTTACAAATACCCTTTTCTGCTTGTACAGTACGACCTTCCTTTGGGTACATTTGTGTAAAATAACTATCAGGAAGGTTTAAAGTTCATTTCATATCACATTTCTAAGTTACCAATCACTATTATCTTCTTCAGCAACATTACCGGTCCTTAACATACCAAATAAAAATAATTCTGTTACCAATTACTATTATGGTACAGGTTGTACCTCTCTAGTCCGGCAACCTCGGGACCTGACCGGTGCCGGACCATGGAAATTCACCCTTTTCCTGGATAGATAGTGACTTGTGCTTATGCTTGGAAGCACTAGTCACCACTTTCTCTGCATCATGGTCTCTTTGAAGACATATTGAAGGGTTAAATGTCGTATAGTAGCTTCTCAAATTTTGAGAGTTTTTAATTCTTAACGTATTTTATTGGAACACAAAAAAATAAATAAATAAAAATTTTGACGGCGGAAACTTGAATTTCGACGGGTTTGAAAGGCCCGCCAACGTGCAGACGACGTGCATAATCGTGTAAACAGCGTCATTTCTCTTATGTACAAAAGATTCATTATTGTTTATTACTGAATGTCTTTTTTATTAAATTTATGTTTATGTGTGCAAAATGAACAATTCAATTCATTAATAATACGTAGAATATGAAAACACACGAGGAAATGACACAGCATTGTTTTCGTTGATTACAAAACCAGTGACTGACTGGTTCTACATATAAAACTGAAGAAGATAAGACCTTGGTTGTAGCTGTAGTAAAATTAATATGGTTGTTTTAAGTAATGTTAATAAATGGAACAATAGAAGTAGCTAACGATAATGGTAAAGAAAAAAAGAGAGATCGCGTATGTAAGTGCGCATGCGCACACGTGAAAACATATCGTCATTACTTTACATAAGAATATGAAAGCAACACTTATTTACTGTTCATATATATTCTAATTAATGTTTCTGAATTTGTTTTTATTGAATTAATGTTTGTGTGTGCAAAATTAACAATACAATTTATTAATAATACGTGGAATATTAGAGGAGACGAGACGGCTGCCGGCATTGTTTATGTTAAAGCTTACGAAACCAGTGACTGATTGGTTCTACATATAAAACTGAAGAAAATAAGACCCTGATTTTAGCTGTAGTAAAATTAATGTAAAAAAATTAATATGGTTGTTTGAAGTACCTGTAATGTTATTTAATGTTAATAAATGGAACAATATAAGTAGCTAACCATTAATGGTAAAAAAAAAGTGAGACTGCGCGTATGTAAGTGTACAGTGCGCACATGTGAAAACATATCGTCATTACTCTACATAAGAATATGAAAGCAACACTTATTTACTGCTCATATATATTGAAGGGTTAAATGTTGTACTCTGTATAGACAAGCAGAGAGAGAGAGAGAGCAGCCGAACTGCCGGATGTAAACAAACCTTAATTTCCCGCGGCTTTGTTTTTTTTTAGGGGATTAGCCCACCCGGGCATAGGTCACTGACCCACATTGGGGCCTGAGGGGCAAAAATTTAATACTCCTGTAATAATAATAATAATTCAGATAAGTAAAAAAAAAAAAAAAAAAGCTGCCTATCTACCTATTGGACAAACTAAAATCGTTCCAGACCACGGGAGTTTCCGGACCACAGAATTTCGGACTAGAGAGGTACAACCTGTATCTTCTTTAGGATGCTTACTTCACTTATCAAATGAAATTAACAATCACTTTTGGGGCTTAAGTGAATTTAAAAGTAATATTTGGCACTGTCACTTATCCCCATTTTCACCTTAAGTTCCAACTGATTTATAGTCTGTGAGGTCTGTATGAGCATAACACTGCACATTTGGCAGAGGTTGTAATATTTAGACAGACATAGATATATAACTGCAATAATGAGATGCAAACATAGACCTAGTTGTATATGTACAGAAATTTTAAAAATATACCAAAGGAATTTGTATACAGTATGCTGTTTTCCAAGATCATAACTTAAACTCTATCTATATGGATCATAAATATATTAAAACTCAAATTAATAGAATCTCAAATTATACAAAATTCTGTGCAATATGGTTTGAAAGAATTGCTGTGCTAAACATGCAAATAAACTACAGTACAGTATATCCTTTATCAAAAAAATATAAAGTAACAAATATACAATTACAATACCCTTAACTACAAATTAATTTGAACTACTTTATGTGAAGTGTTACACAATTTCACAACATAAAAAGTGTGCTGAATGAATAATACTGTACTTTATATATATTTTTTGCTACATCTGGCAAGAATTTTTTTTATGTATTCCAGCTGTTCCAACACCTGATAAAATAGGATAATTAGTGGGTATGGCCACAGTTATGTGAAATTGGAAGAAACCCCTGGGAAGTGAAGGTATTAACAAAATATACTCTGTCTTAGTGAGTGGGTCTCAACCACACTTGGTAAACAGATACGTGAACACTCGAGGAAGATATCTACTGTACTGATTTTCAGGTCAGTGGGTCAAAGATGTAGGTCAAACTCCTGATACATCCCTAAGAATAATTTTCCTCAAACATTTGCACTTCTGTACAAGTACTGTATTATACTGTAAAAAAAAATATATAAATTACCTTTAAAATAAAAATTCCTTACTTAGATATATATTTAGGTGAGCCTTGATGAACAACAACAGGCAAACACTCACTACTCATATTCCACTCAGTAACAATGAAATGAAAAACCCCCTAAAAGGCCATACAGTATACGGTGTACTGTATATCTTTTATATAATATACAGGGTACATCATCACTGAGTTAGTTCAATCCCATGAAATGTACCGGTACTTCTGTTGAATTTTCTTTAATAGCAATAGGCACTGAATTATATCGACAACAGATAAATATCTTTAGAAACAATGAAAAATTACACTAACAATTAACATACAATAAAATTCTTTACTGTTTATCTTTAAAACATGAAACATCAAAGCAATGTATACTTTTATCACCATTTTAAGAAATGTTTGCCTCAAAGCCAATGAACATGTTATTCACCAAACTCTTAAACTTTTAACTGCAATATTGTAGATATTGAATTAATTTGATATCATACAAATTTTCAAAAACCTCATCTATGATTACAATATACTGTACTGTACTGTATTGTACTGTATAAGCAATGCCTTTGTTCTCCTGATGGTGAGTAAGATATATTAGCTCTGATTTTACGATAATTTGATCATAGAAACTTTCTTAACACTATAATACAGTTTCATAATTTATTTAATCTCTAATAATATTGTGTGGATTATATTCTAATAAGGGTTCTTATTGGAAGGCAACTCTTTATATATATATATATATATATATATAATCAACGACCTCACCAGCCAGGAATCGAACCCTCGACCTACTGGGTGGGACTAGGGAACGCTACCGACCAACCCACAAGGACACTAAAAGTAGTCCTAGACTGTTATATTTCACACAAAGCCTGTTCATCGAGCTGATGGCGCCGTGAACCTCATTGGGAACTGCCGTGCCTCGTATATGGTACCTCGTGTTTCAAACCAGCTGGATTCGGTAAAATGCTACTGACATCACATACGAGGCACGGGCAGTTCCCAATGAGGTTCACGGCGCCATCAGCTCGATGAACAGGCTTAGTGTGAAATATAACAGAGTCTAGGACTACTTTTAGTGTCCTTGTGGGTTGGTCGGTAGCATTCCCTAGTCCCACCCAGTAGGTCGAGGGTTCGATTCCTGGCTGGTGAGGTCGTTGATTATATGTTCAAAGTCCGCGTGTTATATGGATTAAAAATGAAGTGTGTGTATATATATATATATATATATATATATATATATATATATATATATATATATATATATATATATATATATATATATATATATATATATATATATATATATATATATATATATATACATACACACATATGTGTGTGTGTGAGTGTGGACAAATGTGTGTCTGAGAATGTTCTTTCTCCCACTCTCAATGTATACATGTTCAATATGCTCCAGTTTATACACACACTCACACACACATCTGAACACACAAAAATATATTCATGATTCTGAAAACACTGTTAGAGAAGGACTTCTTTTGAATTCTCAATATAACATCACAAAACAGTGGAGAGTGACAAGCTATAATCAGTCATCCTTGTCTGTTCCATCACTGAAATCAGAACCTGAGTTATAACCAACTTGTTCTCGCCACCATTCTCTTACTTCACCTGATCCTGAGGCAGAACGTGGGAGAACAGCCTTATTACTTGTAATGTCACTGCTTAATTGACCACCAGTTCCAGCTGTTATACCTTCTCCTCCTTCAATAACATGAGGTAGATTCTTACTCCCACCTGAGGAGTAAATAAGTTTATCATCAATATTATGTTTTCTTCATCATATGTAAGTCAGCAAATCTTTAGAGGTTGATTATCTGTAAACTTCAATAACATGTATAAAACTTTCAATGAAGAAATCTATGAAAATCCATAAGAGATGAAGAAGTATATTAAGAGTGATGAAAGCATAGGTCAGAGATGTGTTCTAGTGATAAGTGTTTGTACTGCACAATTCAAAGTGCAATCTTCACTTATACAGTACTTTATCCCTTTCCAGTTCACTACAGTGTACTGTCTGTATAGTATTTCATTGCTTCTTTTTCCTCAAGTTATTTTCTTTTTCACTTTTATCTGCCTCCTTTTTCCAACTTTGGTATACCTGCTAAGGAAACACTCGTTTTATTCCTACATTAATACAGCACTGTACTGTATAATTTGGTGAACTGCACAGTAAATTAAACTGGTAATTGCTTCACTTTTTTTTAAAGTAAAACAATCATGAATTATTCTTCAGTAACGTTTCCCAACGCTCTGTTGGGTCTGGAATTGCATGGAAAAGACATACTGTACGGTACAGTAATCTAAATGTGTCGTAATTATTACAAGTGTCATTAATTAACCCCTTCATAATTGGGACACCACTTTTAATATTTTATTTGGCTAAGGCCAGATGATTTTATTCAGCTCAGAGGGGATTAACACTAATTATTTTATTTTTTAATTTTTTAACCCATATCCTTAACCAGCATGTTGAGGAGTACCTTTATATGAAATTTGATCAAAATCTAAACTTTTAGTTTTTGTGATGAAATGCAAGGTTTAGGCAAGAAAAACCATTTATCTGGAAAGTGAAAAGTAATGGGCTTACATCTAAAGCCAGTCTACAGTATATTCATTGTAAAATGTATAAAAATGTGGTCTGAAACTAACCTGCATAGTGTAAGTGGCCTTTTAAGTATACTGTACAGTGATAAAAAAATTTAAAGGAAGATTGCATATGTGCCACCAATCTGTGTGGGGTGGATAATAGGGCAGAGAAAAATTAAAGAAAGCAGATGGGAAATAGTTGTGGAAAGTATGGAAAAAACACAATATGATGGACAAAATTAAAATAATTAAAATCACATATATTAATTATTCTTTTACCTGAGGGTTTACCTTTCCTCGATTTAGAGTCATGTCGTGGATGTTTCTCTCCTCGTAATGATGTGTCTGAGGGTGTTGGTGCAAGGAATTTTCGCCCACCACTGATGCTTGACATAGAGTCTGTACGAGTTACCATGATCATTCCTTTCTTCCTTTCTCTGGTCCGTTCACCCTCCTGAAATTCACAATGCAGCATAACATTAAGCAAATGAAATCAGAATCTTTTCATTTAAGCTTTCATTATTGAAGTTCTTCTTTCTTTATGACTTCATCAAAATTTTGCACTTTCTATTAGCTCATATGTTTAAAAAGAAGAGGTACAGTACTCCTGTTGTCACCACTATAGCATCAACATTGTTATCACTGTCCTGTTAAACTGGAATATGATACTGTTTACAGCACTGGAATATTGCAGACCTCCAGTCAGACATTCTCATTCCCTAATCAAATGCTAACCCAAAAGTCCCAATATTTTCAGATATGTAAAGTTTCAGGGAATAAAGATAATTTGCATTGTTACTGTATCAACTTACACTGTTTACGGCATTAATTTGCACTGCTTTTCTACTATTCTTCAGTAAATAATTTCATCAGAGGTTTAGCCGAGTTGTAATATACTGAAACTGCATGTGAGATAACTGGCTATAATAGTGAAATTTCTAAATATATACAGCACTGTACTGTACAATACATCATAGATCAAATTATCCCCAAAAATCTGAAAACACAACAAAAACAATTGATAAAGATCAAGTAACCCTAAATTCTTAAATAAATATATGTCTGAATAATAAACATGTCATTATTTACTACAGCATACAGTATTACCATAATGAAGCCTCACTCTACAGTCACCCACACTCAATCTCACCTAAGGCTGGTGATATTTCAGAATCAGGAGAGGACAAGTTTAAAAAGCACTATAAACCCTCCAAACCCCCTTTAAGGAGTTTGGGGTCTGAGGATTCAATAGTTATTATCAGTCTTGACATCCATAAAAACCATTAAAAAAAATAATAATTGCTTACTTTATTTTCCGACTCTTTTTCCTTATCTTGTATCTGGGTTTTCTTATCCTCATGCAGCCCAACAATCAACGCATCATTGGTTTCTCGTAATCTATCCAGTAAAGAGCTCTGTTCCTTTTGCTGTAAAGTGTGATGAAAGTAAAGTATGTACAGTAATTAAGTAAAAAAAAAAATTATTCCATCCAAAAAATTTAAATCAGTACAGTATCAGAATTAACTCTTCAGTAGTTGTCAATAGGCAAATAAAATAAAATTCCTCACAACAACAATAATAATAATAATAATAATAATATAATACACACAGCTCGAATTCGTTTTAGGCAATTATCAAGCCAGTTGCGAATAGTCTGCTTCGCCACTTCCTCTTCAATGATGTATTCTAGCTCTTCTCGTGCCATTAATTCTTCTAACTGAAGGGACTTGCGAATATCTACACTTCGATAAGAGAGCATACTGGGAAAAAACAATCAAAATATCAGGTTTGGAATATTTTGAAATGTATATAGTAATTTCATTTATCTTGGTTTTGAAGAAATTGCAAAACTGAATAATCTTACTTGAGAACATCGTGGAAGGTTACGTCATCACCATTGTGAAGTCGCTCTAATTCATAGCACATATGTTTGAACAGTAATCTATCCTTCTCTGGGTCAACCTCTAACCTCCCTTTCAAAAGTCGCAGAATAAATTTGATCTGTGAAAAGTGAAATACTTTCAGACTCAGTTGATGTATGAAATAACATTATAAATATTGCATTCAGAAAAAGAAATTCCATGTATAATTATATATCTTTTTAACGATTCAACCGTAATATTTACCAAGTTTTCTGAATTACCTCATACACCTAAAAGGGGTGAAGTAAAAAAGTTTACTAGATGTTCTATCTTTCACTTCATATAGTGTTTTCCAGGTCATGGTAAGCACTTCTTTATTTCTACACATTACAACAAGTAGCCAGTGTTTAATACTCACCTTCCTCACTGGGATAACACCACGTTGGTTAACATCTACTACATTCCAGGTGTTCTGAAAGTTACGGATGTCAGCGTATGACAGCAGAGCATCCTCCTCATTGGAGTAAAACAGAGAGAAGTTCTCCATGATGATGGCTATAAAAGTATTCAGTTAAAGTTAAAAGATTCATTAAGGAAAATTTATTTAACTGATATAAATACAATAATGTATGCTTGTGTCTGGCCTACTGACAAGCATAATGATCTGTTCATTTATTTTACTGTTATGCAAAAATGAATCACAATTGCCAAGGAGGTAATTTTGATAACTTCAGAGTACTGTACTGACATGAAGCACATATTGGCAATGAAATGGCTTATAAGATTTACAAAAAGAGATTTAATAGTTAAAACTTACCAACAAGTAAATTAAGTACAATGTAGGTGATAATAACATAGAAGGTACAGAAGAAGATGAGAGAACCAGTAAAATTTCCACAGTCAGTTTCCCAAAAATTACTCCCAGGAGTACAGAAAGGAGGGGCCACCATACAGTCATGCATGATTTTGTTCCAATCTTCTCCTGTTACAATGCGGAAGAGTAGTGTAATCCCATTGGTGGCTGTCTGAAAGTTTGCTTGCCTGTTGATAAACAAATCATCATTACTAAATGATAGAAACATTAATAATATTATCTAAAAATCAAATTTCGGTACAGTATATAATAACACCATCACATCCTGACTTACCTTCCAATACCTTCTCCATATTTTACTGTACCAAACAGGATACATCCTGCTAAAGCATATGAGAGAATAAGAAGAAACATGCCCATGATGATGAAGAAGCTTTTGTACACAGACACACCCACAGTCAACATGAGCATCTTGAGAGTTGCATGTTTACCAGTTATTGTGAAGAATCTCAGGATGATTACCAAGAAGCCGAACATATGTGACTCATCAGTCTGGAAATTAAATTAATCTTAACATAGCACTTGATATTATAATGATTTTACACTTTGTATACATATTTTTCCCATGTAACTTTTTATGCTTTCTTTAGCCATTTAGTTTTATATTATTTGAAAACAATGATGTTTCATGAGAGACAAGGATAAGTTTGATTAGCTACTTGAATCCTCTTTGTAATATCCCTAACTTTCTTTTGACTACAGTATGCTTATAACTTAATTTAGGAAAAAAGGGCAGTCCCTCGAAATGATACTGTATAAATTGTTTACTTTATAACTAAAAAACTTCCCTAAGTTAAAATGCTGGATCTAACATTGATATAGAAATAATAATAATGCTACCTAAAAAAAATTAAAAGCCAGCATCTATCACCATAACACAGCAAAAGAATTTTCTAGACAGATGAAACCATTCACAATATCTTCTCACCTGAACAGTGTAGTTAAGAATAATCCACACAACGCCCAGCACAGTAACAAAGAGATCATAACGATTACGTCTGCTCTGCCAATATCCTCGTGGGGTGAAGGCAATCAGTTTCATGACCACTTCCACAACAAACACGAAATTCAGTAATGAAGACACAATTGCTAGGGACTTTGTTGGCTCATCCTTTTTGTTCCACTGAAATGAAAAGAAGGAGTAAGTAACCCTCAGACTAGAACTACTGTACTGTATGACTTAACTTATAAATCTAAAAGTATCTTCAATACATAATGAGCCACGTGTATCACTGAAATATTACACAATGTTTTGACATTATTGTGTTAGGACTAACGCTTGTAACTTTTCTTATGTCTCCTAATTTTAGTTAATTTTAAAGGTCTGTAACTAAGTATAAATAATTAATGTAGTTTTCAATATTGGGGTGGACTCTTCATACACTGCTGAGGGATAGTGTGTGTTCTTCTGGCTGGTAGACTAAATTTCATAAGTGTTTAAAAAATTTCTTAGATTTTGTATATTAAATAAACAAGGCCACATGTAGGGGATGGGGGTTTCTGGGTGCCCCAGAAAAAATTATACCATACTATGAATAATTATGTGATTAATACTGTACAATACAGTACATTAGCCTCAGCATCATGAATTAGCATATGTTTATTGCAGTTTTGACCAACACTGTAATCCCCCTCCCCACATTCCCATGCTCTGGATATGACCCTGTTAATGTCATCGCAATCCAGATTTAGCTGATTGAGGTAGTGCCAAGGCATTCTGACAGCCCTTTACAAACTATATTACTCCTAACTGACTCTCATAATTAGCAATATCAAGGAATCACAGGGATGGATGATATTGCTGTGAAAGTGTAAGTACAGTAGTCTTTGGGACAATTCTGGCATGGTAAAGAAGATTGCCATGTATGATTCCTGTTCCACTGCAGTGGTAACAAAATCATGAACAGTCCAAGTATATTTTAAGAGTATAGTATAGAGCATATTCAGTTCCTCAAGTACAGTACAGTACAAGTACAGTATTTTTCCTATGTCTTATAATCCATCCTCCTACCATGAAATGCACAGGGATCCCAAAACTATTTGTTAATTTCTTTCAAATACAGGAGCCTATATACCGGTAATCATGTTCAAGATATTCACCAAATCATAACCAAAACAAAGTGAAATATATTATACTTACCGCAACACATAACAAGCTGCTATTAATGATGACAGATACTGCAACAAAGCGCTTGAAATATATATTTTGAGTAACGTCATAAATAAAAGCCCGGAAGGCTCGGCCATCAGGGCGAGGAGGCAGATGAAGCGGCTGGGCAATTTTCAATCTCTTCTTAAGATCACACCTGTTGGAAGCACAAGCAAACAACCAATAGTGAGACTGCAATAGCTAATAAAGTCACCCTCAGATAACTAGGAAAATAATTTATCTTATCTAAAAAAGAAGTATTCATGCTAAAGAAAATACTGTAATGTTTAGTAAATACGTTTGTTGTGAATACTGAAATATATAGCGATTTTAAAGTTAGATATATAAATGACTTACCACCTCCTCTGGTCAACAGTTAATAGTGCAGTTCCCTTATTCTCGGAGTAGTTGGCGATGACTACACCAACAAACAATGTGAGGCCGATCATACACCCCAGGAAGACGAATATATGAATGTAGACTGTTGAAGCCTGTGGAAAACCAATTAATTAGACCACACACCACATGGGGAGTAGCTTGTCAAAACATCGGAAGAAGAAAAAAAAATAATAAAAACAAAAAATAAATAAAAAATAAAAAATAAATAAAAAAATACAGTACAGTAAATCAGAAATTATGATGAGTCTGTTCAAAAGAAAAAGGAATGTTATATCACACTTACAAATACAAGGTAATAATTTTTATCACTTTGTATAGAAGCCACTAGCTCTAAGATAAGTAATCATCATCAGCTTGGTTCTTAATTAAGTGATCATTATAAGCTTAATTCTTAGATATGTGGTCATTAAAAGCTTAGTTCTTAGATATGTGGTCATTACAAGCTTAGTTTGTAGATAAATGATCATTATAGGCTTAATTATTATATATGTGGTCATTATAAGCTTAGTTCTAAGGTGAGTGATCATTATAAGCTTAGATCTTAGATAAGTGATCATTATAAGCTTAGATCTTAGATAAATGGTCATTATAACCTTAGTTCTTAGATAAGTGATCATTATAAGATTAGTTTAGATAAGTTATCATTATAAGCTTAGTTCTTAGATAAGTTATCATTATAAGCTTAGTTCTTAGGTAAGTTATCATTATAAGCTTAGTTCTTAAATAAGTTATAATTATAAGCTTAGTTCTTAGATAAGTTATCATTATCAGCTTAGTTCTTAGATACGTTATCATTATAAGCTTAGTTCTTAGATAAGTTATCCTTAAAAAATTAAGTTCTGTGCATGTGATCATTATAAGTTTAGAAATGTTTATCACACATTAATTTTCAGTGTGGTCAAATGGGTTCATAAGGTAGACGAGAGATTAACTCTTCCATAGTAACCACAACTGAAGCAGGGAGAGGACTGAGTGATTATGTTGCTTGAATAAAGCTGAAAAATCATTAAAAAAAATAAAAAAAAATAAAAAATAAAAATAAAAATCTGGATCAATCCTGAAAAAAATATATTAGTTTGTTTATCCATCTGACTTTCTGCCTCATTTACATACAATTGCAGGGTCTCAATTGTTTCTCTTTCTTTGGCAACACAACATATGTATGCATGTATGTAACATGTATATATTGTTTATCACCCTTGATTCGTTTAATTACTTCCATTTCTGTATTTTTGGTTCATTTTTTTAACCCTCCTCGGACCCCGATGTAGGTTGGTAACCTGTGGCTGGGTGGGCTAATCCCTGTAAAAAAAAAAAAAAAAAATGCTGACCATCAGATCTTTGGCATGTATAGGAAACCACATAGAAACCAAACAAAATGGGAGACATACTCACTTCCCTTCATCAAAAAAGAAAAAAGCCCATAACAATCAATCCTTCATATACCTAGAAAAAAAAAATATATCATGGTTTCAAGGGGTGGACAAAAGTAGAGGGGCCCTATTAACAACACTGGACAATTACAAAATACAGAATGCTTTGAAACTCGCTAGTTCTGAATTTCTGAGATCATACCATATATGAAATTACCTGTATTCATATTAGTTAAAAAAAAAAAAAGATCCTAACTACTACATCCATACTGTTGCATCACAGAAAGGAATTAACTGGGCCTCTTGAATACTAAATGTTCAATGAATCAACTGTCTCAGTTGCCATCACAATAATGAATGTTTCTATGAACACAGATTTACAAGTAATGCATTACCATTGTGATATAGTCATTTAATCATCATTTCAAAATGACTGAATTCTGTAATAAAAATATCAAGGCAAACCAAATGTTTCTATGACTTTGTGTTAGTTGTGGGAGAGAGATGACACCAAGGTCTTGTAAACTCACCATAGCTCATCAGTCAGGTAACAACTACAGTTATATCATTACGCAAAAATATTCCATGTATGTGCATACCATACTACACTTGCATTTCTGCGTATGCAAAATAAAAAACTTCACTATAAACAGTACACACAATATAAAGTGCAAAGCAACAATAAAGCTGGTTGTTTCCAGGTGTGAATTTTGTAACATCATCCAACTATTGAGTCCACAAGTGTAATGGAGCTCATGACTTAATACTATACAGTATATGATTATAAGTGGATAAACAGAAGACATACACTGTTTACTAAAGCAAAAGGAAATTAAATATATTTCCAGGTACAAAAGATAATGTCTTTAAAATCCTGCACTTGAACTAAAAATGAAGATTTTTACATCTGTAGCAATATGAAAAGCTCAAACACTCACCCAGATAGTTTTATTAATAATAGCTACAAGCAACAATCTTTCTTTTCAAGTAGTTGAAAAAGGAACATTAAGGTACTGTAGTACATCAAATTACCAGACACTTGCAATCTTAAAAATTAAGAGAAAAACTTGAGATTTTCCATTATTCAAGTAAAAATTCACGAACATATTTATACTACAGTATTGTATTTCTGACTTAGTGTGTACTTTAGATAAGAAAAATATACATTGTACTGTATATAATTTACACTACAACGAATATTTCACATTCTACAACAAATAATGTCTGCCACATACAGCTCAGGTACGCAAGGTTAAACTGAACTGAGTGGTGGAGGGAGCAAGGTGGTAAAACCTTTGCTCTACTGGAATTACCACTGTTCCAGACCATCCAATGTAATATCTAGTCTGGTAGAGGATTGTAGCTACAGGTACTACTATCATACAAAACACTGACAAGACGTTTACTCTTTTCTCAACTTAAGATTGGTAACCATAAGACACATTATAAATTAATAAGAAATATACCAAAATGATCTGAGAGATGATTGATTATATTACTTTTTTAAAGGAAGCACCATATAGTAGGGCTCTTTAACATCCTTATGAGCACTGTTAATAATATGAGCCTCTCAGATTGGACAATTTTAGTTATAAAAAATTATTGGTTATTAGTGGTTTACTTTCACCAAAAATAACAGTTTTCACTCACTTTGTCAACTTGATTTTATTAAAAAATTTTACTCTACTGTATTGCCATTAAAATACCAGAAAGGTGGAAATTCAGGATGGAACATTAGTTCAAAATATTTCTTATCTTCAACTGTTTAAAAAAATGACATGCAATCTTTGGGAGACAATACATGTATATTATTTTTCTCTATTTCCTCAATTGAAAACAGGAGTGGGAGAAAATATCACTACATACCAACTCTACTTGAGGCAGACAACCATCATGCTGACAATAAACACCAATGCTTGGACGGGGACAATCTTACACAAAGGTAACATAGCACTAGTAACCACATAGCACTAGTGGAACACCATTCACATTGTAAAAAGGGGAAATGGGGGCAACTTACGATGCCAAGCCGAATTTTTAATACATCACGAATATCTAGCCAACCCTTGAATGAAAGGACTTCAAACAAGGCCAGCATAGCATGTCCAATGTTGTCAAAGTTGAAGCGCCTGGGGTTGGCCCTGTGTTTTGGGTATAATACAGTTAGCCAGGAAGTTTTACTAAGAAAAATATCTTAGTCCATAAAGGGAGAACACAGTAAGATCCAATATGCAAGTGGTATAAAATTATGGTAAATTAATATAACTTGTACAGTTAGATTATAATGAAGAGACAAAAGATAATAAATCTACAATAAATGTTGAAAAAAAAAAAATAAATACTTTGTACTGCACATAATAGCGTGAAAAAATTATCACCAGAAATCCATAACCAGTTTGTTCATGAACCAATTATATGCAGTATTGATTACTACTGGGGAATTAAATTACTGTATACAGTACTGTACTGTATAAGGAGATAAATCTTGTTTCTACCCATCTCTCTTCATCTAAGGAACTGTTCCTATGGATTAAACTGTTGCCTGGAAATGTCTTAATCAACCCCTTGGATCACTCTATATAAATATGCAAATTCTACAACAGGATGCCCACTAAATTATTAAAAAAAAAAAAAAAAAAAATCTGAATACTGTAACTGTGTACAGTGTATCTTAATATATCTCAAATACAAAAAGCAAGTACTGTACTTGACAAATAGCTCTTACCTAATGTTCAATTGCACTATTTCTGAATCAGGTTCACTCATTGTAATATGCTATGGTTTTAGGTTTTAGATATCTCGCCCTGTAAAGTACCGTACATTAAATAGAAAAACTTAAAAACAATGGCAAGAAGAATTATGAGAATCCCATCAAGGCAAATCTCAAAATTACCAGCTAATAGAACAGCTTATGTAGGATATGTATACAGGTATATTGTACTGTACTCATTTATAGCAAGTGTCACCTGCAATATGAATTATGCACTGAGTTCATGATCTATTATTTATGGTTGAGAAGGCTCAAAGCAATAGGTGGGATTCATGAACCTTTTCTCCTAATGGTTTAATAATTGCACTGACTATGTAACTGACTCAACCCAACCATAACTGTTGACAGAGAACACTAGCATCATCACAATTACCCTACTTTGATGTTTCTACCAGTAAGGATATCTCCTGTGTCATATAAGATATTCTGGAGCAGACGAAATGCTACAAACAGTTCAGCTTACAGATATTGAACTCCAATACTGTTTGAATTTACCAACTTATTTTCTTAGCCCAACCATGTAAATATTTACTTCTTTGCTCATCATTAATATTTTGACGGGTCAATCATAAAAGAATGTGTAAGGCATTGTATAGTTAGAATAGTTCTGATAAAAATTAAAGTGAATTTCGGTTGAATAAGATACACATAAAAATTCTTCCCCAACTACAGTCAAATACAAATATCCATTCACAGTTGGGTTACTGGGGGGTGCCCAGAGCTCACACCAGCAACCCTTAAGACATTAGGCAAGCATTGTACCCACTCAACAGCTCTCCCCACAAAATACAAATACAATATAATGAACAGAAGATACAAGCAAGGAAGAAAAAAATGGGGGCATCCTTTTAACTACTGCAATATTATTAATTGCCAAAGCATTTATAAAATACTACAATACTGAACTGCGTAAACAGTACTTTTATAAATTTAAAGACCATCACTGTCCTCTGTAAAAGCTTACAGTATATCAAAATTAACACCCTTTTAACTTACCAGACTCGAGGCACCAGCATGGCAGGATATTTTTCATTCTCATTTAGTTCTAGTTTCATCTTGGTTACAAAAATCTTCCGTATAAAGACTCCCACACAATCCTTTCGTTCTGTTATAGTAGGATCATTACATCGTGCAAGTCGACCACCATACATCTGTACTCCATAACTTGCAAACACAAATAGAAGCACTATCAAGAGAACTGATACCTGTATAAGAAAAGAAATACGTAATACCATTAGGCGATATAAAGAGGCAGTGAAAAAACACATGATAATGCCATCATGCACAAAATTATACAAATGACAAAAACACTAAAATTTCACATCATCTCATCCTGATACACTTTAGGTGGACAGTTGTAAGGTTAAAATAATTCTCAAATAATTTTAATAAAATTTTTAAGTGTATGAAACTCACCAACAAAATTTCTTTAAAGCCTTTACAGAGTTCTGATACAACTTTGCGCATGTGAGGTACAAGGTTGAAGATCCGAAGTGGTCGTAAACAGCGTAAAATGAGAAGCAGTTGTGCTCCAGATTGTGGTGGAACATGTTTTGGCATCCAGCATGAGAATACCAGTGATACCTGAAAATTTTAGATGGAAACATGAATGTTGTAGCATTGTGTAGAAAAATTCATAGATTTTTTTTCATGCATCTTTTAAGCTGCAAAAAACTGTATGTTTGTACCTAGCATATGTTTTGTGTAATAAATGTTTGTAATCAGGGAAAGACCTTATGCTCACCCTGTATATACTGTACTGTATATAAAGTACAATATATACTTTTAATGTACAGTACAGTACTGTACTATACTGTACTGTAAACCCAGAGATCAGTTTCAAGGGAGTGGGGAAAATTACAAAGTAGTGTTTTTCCATTTCAACCATATCAAGATAACATTAAGTTATTACTGATCAATTGGTGTAAAGAAGTAAAAATATCTGAACATAAACAATTATCATGGCTTCTTCAGAAACAATCTTCAGAACCAGATACCGTATCAGGTAATATCAAAATCTAAGACCTTTTCATATGTGACACTTCAAAAGGGAAATCTATACATACATGAAAAACAAATATGTACTCTAAATGGAAGACAGCAGAAAAGACAAAAGTGTAATGTAACAACAAAACAAAAAAAGCAGGTCTATGGGGACATGAATGACTGAATGCAAAAAGGACCTAGGTGTGTATGTTGACAATAAACTGAAGTTCTCGGGCCATTGTGAGAAGAAGGTGAATTAAGCAACTAAATTATTAGGTCTTATAAGAAGGTCATTCAGATATTTAGACGATCTGTACCTCAGAACGATCTTGAAGAGTGAGGTGCTTCCCCATCTGGAGTACTGTCACCCCTTCTGGTCCCCGAGATATGCTAGGGACTGTCAGTTGATTGAAAAAGTCCAAAAGGAGGGTCGCCAGACTGATGCCTGCACTTGGGCACCTCAGCTATCCAGAGCTTATATTATAGACTGGCAGTTGCAGGTGTTCTAATCTCTCTGGGTAGCTGAGGTTCCATATAGCAGGCACCAGCCTGGTGGCCCTCTAACATATCTCAGGGACCAGTCGGGGTGACAGTACTCCAGACGAGGAAGCACCTCACAATGGCCCAAGAACTTAAGTTTCTTGTCGACATACACACTCAGGTACTTATCACATTTAGTCTCAATTAATGTAATAGTTTCTTCATCATGTTGGGACTAGTGATATGCCTCCTTACTGTTGGCGCGACCCAGGAGCGTCATCTAGTACTTCGTGACATAGAATCTTAGGAGCCATTTCTTCGACCATTCTTAAAGCTCACAGAGATCTTTCTGTAGCATCATCTGCAAACATTTGTATGGAGGAGTGTATAGCTTCTGGCATGTTATTTATGAAACAAACAAACAACAATGTGCCCAATACATTGCCTTGTGGTATCCCACTTGTCACAGGTACGGTACACAAGACGATTTCGTGCCATTTATCACCACACACTGCTTGCAATCGTGAAGAAAGTCTCTGATCCACGCTAGGGCATTTCCCCGAATCCCGTACCCTTCCAATTTAATTTTCAGCCTTTCGTGAGGTATGCTGTCAAAAGCCTTGGCAAAATCTAGGTATATATTGTCAATATTTCTGCCTTGTTCTAGAATTTGAGTCCAAACATCCAGGACCTTGAGTAGTTGTGCTAAGCAGGAGCGCCCCGGCATAAAACCGTGTTGGCAATCCTTTACAAGGTTGTTTGGTGGTAGATGTTCTGTCATGGCATCTTTTATGATGCTCTCTAGTACTTTACACATTATGCTGGTCAGGCTCACTGGTCTATAATTATTTGTGGAGTGACAATCGCCCTTCTTGAATATATGACTGACATTAGCGATTTTCCAGTCATTGGTGACCTTTTGCTCATCCAGGCATTTACAGAACAGGATGTTAAGAGGCTCCACAAGGTCGTCGCACAGTTCTCTTAATATGTGGGTCAGTGCTGTGTCAAACCGTCTTTCCTCAAACACAGGAAGATTGTTCTCATTCGCTCTTGTGAACACCGAGGAAAAGAATTTGTTCAAAGCCTCCACCGTGTCCTGGTCTGAATCTGTGTAACTACCAACTTCAAGCCTCAGGTCCAAAATGCCTACTCGCATTTTTAATTTGGACTTTGCGTACTGGTAAAAAGCCTTTGGATTTGACTTGACCACATTTGCAATCTGCCTCTGGAACTCTTTTTCAGCCCTTCTACACTCTGACTTTGCTTGGTTCCTGGATCTGGCATACATCCTTCTGTTCTGCTCATCATTTATCCAAACCCACATATTGAAATCCTGAATTTTCTTCTTAACTTTGTCAATCGCCACATGGTTCATATGTTACGGTCTCCTTGTATTCCTGGAGGCACTGGGTTTGGTCTTGGGTATATATTTATTGTTCAAATGGTTAACTTTATTGACTATGATATTCCTCATAGTGTCTATGTTCTTATATCTTAGCAAGTCAGGCCAGTGAATACCCTCATCCCATCATAATTTACTTTGTAATATTTGAACTTAAGACCTGGTTTTGTCATGAACCAAGTAAAAGTTAAATCTGAAGGACAACGTTATGTGGTGACTGGTGCCAACGGGGGCTGGGTGTTCCAGCTTGCCCACCACCATAACCTCCTCATTAGTTATAATGCAGTCCAGCGGTTTGGGTGTTTGCCCCCTCCCCCCTTGTAGTGAGTCGGATTTTTAACATGTTGGAATAGAAAATTGTCTCTCAGAGTTACTAGAAAAAGAATAGCAGGGTTATTTAGGTCGTTTGGCATGGATTCATTTCTCCAGTCGATGTCGCCATAGTTAAAATCCTCCATGAAAAGGAGGTGGCTAGGATTTAGCACTGTTACATTGTCTTTAAGTTCCTTCCGTTTAATACGCTACAGTTTGGGGAACTTCACATATATTCAACAATGAGTAAGTCTCTTCTCTTTAGTTTAATTTTACACCACTTTGATTCTTCAAAAACATCCTCTCCCCACACCCTCACCTGGCTGGCTCTAAGGTCTTGACTTGACGTAGACAACCACACCCCTCCTGCAAGTTTCTTGAGAAAGGTTCTTAAATGAGTCCAATCCATCTTTATTGATTTTCCTGTTATTGTACAACAGTTCTACAAAACCAACTATATTGAGTTGATGTACCTTGAGTAGTGTTTCAAACTCCACTCTTTTGTCAAGGAATGTGTCAGTATTAGTGTATGTGACTTTCAAGCCGGAAATTGTTCTCGGTAATGTCTCTGGTCTTGACTCAGGCCTCCCTCCATCTGCTGCAACTGCTTCGTTTACTGAATCCCTTGTGTTTCATGGGGTGTGGTCAGTGATATTGGCTATTCACTGGGAGATGACCGAAGTGATCAGATCAGGGTGTGTAAGTTGTTGGTCACACTTACAATACTAATACTGGACAATGAAGGTGACAATAAAAAAAAATCACCACCCTAATAGCAAGTAAGTTGACAAGTAGTGCTAATGATACATCAAAATTAAACAAAATAACCACAAAACTTCTTCACTTATCTCAAAAAACAGATTGAAGAGCTATAATTACCATATAGATAAAGAGATCCAACACTCCTGCCATGTCCCGGATCAAGGCTTTGGGTGTGAAGAGTAAGCCATCTGCCAAGATTTTTAGGCTTAGTTCCAAGCTCATGAAGACAACAAAGGCATATTCTGCTATCTGAAACAAACCACATGCAGTAGTACTGCACGCACGCACGCACACACACACACTAGTTCATATCATCAATTTACACATGCAATAAATCCCACCCACTCTTTATTTACCAATCCATGGCCCACAGTAGTCAAAATGTACATAAGCCATGCAAAGTTGGGCATGCCATGATATGAAACAATAAGACAAATGAAAAAATATGAAAAGTATTCTAAAAAATCTGCTTAAATTAACTCTAGTTCAGATTATGGTCATACAATTGGATGAAAACTTGTACAAATAGGCCTGATGCCTGTATCCAGTTAAGACACACCTGTTAAGTGCTGGTAACAAGTAATACTGTATTATAATCACTGTACCTGCAACATGGGTTGTTCAGTTATCCGATATTCAGCCGCCTCCAGCATGAGTGATATGCAGGAGAGTGTTGTGACCAGGATCATCAGCCAGTCTAAATATGTAACCAGGGCCAGAAGGTTACTGTAATGAGGAAAAATCACATATACAGTAATAATCTTTGACATACTGTATGTGATATTATAGACAAGTCAAACTTTAAAATGCAGTATTTTTTTATATTTTCATTTTTATATTTACATATCATTATCTTCTTCACCATCTATCAGCCTACTAGCCAGTCAGTTCTTAGTTGGGAAGTAAAGGGCATGTATCATCTTGAATGTTAACTGAATAAGTTCCAGTAATGCTCAAGTCTGGACTTGAAAGAGTGTTGTCACACCATTTTACCAATTTTATGGAGCATTATTTTCATATACAGTACAGAACATTACTTATGTTTTGCGTACCTGAATATTGTTACAACAGAATGGTACTTACTGCAGCCTTTTATATTTAAGCTTCCTCTCTTTGCCAGTTATGGGATCTTTGTGACTTGTATCATAGCGAGAATATACAATAAGCTGACATAATTTTCTAAACCGACTCTCACGACCAATTGCAAACAGGGGTGTATCAAAATATGGATGATTCTCTCTTAGATCCTCTTCACGCTGATTCCTGCAAAATATTATATTGTGACAATGCATAAAAAAATAAAAAAATAAAATAAAATTAAATAAATAAAATTAAATAAAAATAGAATAATCAAGATGATGAAAACCTAATATTTATAATCTAGACGCTAACCACTTTAACCTTCCTTTAGTTTTGAGTATGTGGAAATCTTTAGGAACAAACTTATTCAGATGATCTTAAGATCAGCTACACTACAGCATACATTATTGCTTCAAAACCAATATTTTATGAAAATAAGTTCTTCAAATGTTCCATCACAAAGTTACACAGCTTACAAACAACCAATTACCATATTAGTCAGTATCTATTATGCCATTTCATACCATAATGATATAAAAATTATTACATTATATGCTATCAAAGGTAAGTACAGTACAATAGTAATGAAGATCAATGATATCCCCATCCCGGAAGACTACCAATCACTCTTCTCATCCTTTACATAATAAATGCTTCACATACACCACTGAGTCACACTTACTGTATATCTAAGTCATATTACAAGACAAAATTCTGTTAGCAGACTCAGTCAGTTTTGAATGGTGGTGATTTTTTAAGACAATGAACCTAAAACAATTTGCCTAATTGTCATATCAGAAACTGAAAGAGAAGGCTTCATCTGTACTCTCTTCTCATTACCCTTGTCAGTCATTGAGGCTATACAGTACTAATACTATTACCGTGATTAAACAACTAAGGTCTTAAAGCATGTAACAAGATTAGTACAGTAATTACACTATTCCATCAATAATTAAAAAAAAATTTTAATAGAATTCTCTCTGGATCCCTTCTCAAATATAATCCGTATAGGTACTGTATGTGTAAAACATAAAAATAAAAGCAAATCCAACTATGGTGATACTGTATATAAAAGGTGAAAAAATCCTACACACTATCAACAAATGCTTTACCTCCTCATCTCAGCCTGTTGCCGCTTGGCCTGCAACATTTTGATGTCCAAATCTTGTGGTTTGCGACTCGATGATGTTCGGTTCATTGCTCCTATGTCCCCATTTTCTTTCAGATGATCATAATTCTGCTGCTTGAGCTTGACCGACCCCCGGACACTGCGACGTATGGACCTTAGAGATGGGAATAAAGTACTCATGCTCATGCAAGTGCCATGCCTCATGCAGCTATTTGAGCAGCAGTCTTCTTATTGGTTGAAGCTTTTGGTTGATAAGCATGAAGCAACTTGATTAAGCCTCACAAACATCTTTATCCAGCAGCGGATCCATAGTGTTAACTGTCGGTAGCCTTAAAGGTCAACTCTGGAGGAAAACATCTAAACTACACCCACAAGTTTTATGCTTATTATGAAATACCTCATTTTCATGACAAATATTATGACACACACACAACCCCTTCAAAATCTAATCAATAAAAGCCAAGAGTGACATCACCAGAGGAGAAAACAAATGCTACCCTTTATTTGTTGTACAATAACAGATACTGTATGAATCATATTTCATAATTTCAAACTCCATTAACTAAAGCTAATCCTAACACAGAAACCTAACGAAAAATAACATGTGCTGCGAGATGTAACCTAGTAAAGGGTGTGAGCCAGAAACATAAGTTCTGAACAAAATGCATATTGGCAACTACCAGACTGTGACAGTCCACCCCAGTGTTATAACAAGTGCCAAGTGAGCTTACTGACAACATTGAACATGATGTACACTTAAGGTTAATGCTAATGCTATACAGTGCATACAGTATACGTACTGTACTTTTTTTATCTTACTGTATTCATGATGTAATCTCAAGTTTAATTATTGTACAATATAAATTAAATCATAAACTCTTGTTAATTAAAAGTTTTGACCTATAGCTATACTGAAGCAACTTACTTTCAGAGAAATGAATGTGAATTACTGTATAGTTACAGTATAAAAAGAAAGAAGTGTCAAAACTATGCCCAGAAATTTTGGGTTCAAGTTTGTATCCATAATAAAGAAAGTAGCATACTGTAAATAATACTGAGAAAAAAAATCAGAGGTGACCTTTAGGCATTTTAATGTACAGTACAGTACAGTACTCTGATTCACTCTTGGCAAACTGAATGCTCCCACATAAATCTCTAATGGCTTCTACTGTCATATTCAATGTCATAGTGACTGTAAATAATCTCATAATTTGCATAAATTTCATAAAATATCAGACTTAAGTGAATATAACTGTTTTATGAATACACATGACTTCAGACTGGCTCATTATTACAGCAGTACTATTGTTAGGATCCGCCTCTGTTCCCATGACAGACAACAGTGATCTGACATGCTGACATTGGACAACATACATCTGACACAACACGTCCTGGTCAGTGAGTTGGAGATAAACTTTATTCAGTTGTAGCTTGTACTGTATATTGAAGAATTTCACTAAACTTAGTGAGAAGTAGTATATTTAAAGCTTTATTCCTTTGCTGGAGAATTTCAATACACTTAATGTGAAATTATATATTCAAATAATTTTTTCCTCTGCCATCAGTAATGAGCGTTTGATTCTGAAAACCCATTTTATAATAGAACCATGGGTGAGACCCATGGGTATGCACAACACAGATTTGGTTTGCACAGTAAACCCCATGGCAATATGCAAAATTCATTTTTAGTAGATATAGGTATTATATTCTGTTCTGATACTTATAGTACATTAAAGTTTACTTATTTGTTTGGGAGAGATGGCTCAAATACTGTACAGTAAACTACACGTCTTTAAAACTATCTGTTATGTAGGAGAGAGACTTCCTACCCAGCCTTTATTTTCAATGGAAGTAGTAATTCTGAGATATAGTATTACTGTAGTATAGGTCTATCATCCACCATAGTTTTCATCCTATGGTTTCCTTTCTTTCACTCATTACTTATTGTATCTAACTATACCAAGTCTGTACTGCATTCTTTCATTCACACTAATTCACTGACACCCAATAAATTACTTTTAAACACAATAACTTACCCAATGACTTAGCTCCTTCACATTAACCCCCGCAATGGGCACATCTTTAATATTTTCAAGTTATTCTATTTTTCCTCAGGTAGCACAAATACAGGGCAATCATTTTATAACAACTATGCATGGAACATACTGATACAGTGAAAGAGTTTTCAAGATGTCATTAACATATTTTATATTGAGTACTTTCAAAGTTTTTTTTTATCTAATAAAGAAATATTTTACCTTTTCTCCTCTACTAAATGAATCACTTTTGCATTTACTCTCTTCAGCACTTGTTAGCTTACTTGACGGTCGGTGATCAGTCAGTTCTCTGTTGCACATTATCAGCAAGTACTTGGCATGCATCAGTTCTTCAATATAACTGAACATGTTCTAATGCAGGACAAGCTTGGACTTACAGAGGTTCACACTTTATGCTGTAACAACATTCGCTGGCAGGTTATTCCATCAGTACACAACTCTTCAGGATGCTGACTTGCAAAAGACTTGTCTAATACCCTCTTTTTCCCCCACATCCACAAACCTTCAAACATAAAGCTTTGTATATATGTACAGCATTTTCACCTTTCCAGGCATACTGCTAAAAGGCATCAGTAACATGTTCATGCTAAAGCAGGATATTCTGTGTTCTAACCCTAGCACTTCACATTATGCATGGTATTGTTAGCTTCTTGAATACAACTACTGCCTTGTGTAAAATACTTTCATGCAATGACTACTAGAATTATTTAAAATTTCTATGACCTAAATCAAAACACTTCAACAATATATCTTAAATCTGGAACTGAACCTTATCTGTTATGTTTAGATGATAAAAGATCTTTCCCTTGTATTCTGGTAAGTCTTAATTAACAGGCCATATGAAGGGATTATAATCAAAGTTAAGTCTCATTGTGTAACTATTATTAACAATGTATTATCGCTTTAATTCCCATGAGTGTTCATAAACTATACAACTTGTGATCCAAAACTAATTAATCTTTATGATTAAGTTTGGTGTCTGGGCAAAGTTAACCCTTAAAGGTCTGATGTCGTCCCAGAATGCCCGACGTAATAAGGGTCTGATGTCGTCAATCAGCACTTAATTTTTTTATTTTCCCGAGTGAGTAGCGTGACTATTATTGTGGCAATAGCTCATCCCCGCTCACCCACACTTCTCCTTGACCGCTTCTATAGCAAACAATCAGTTCAACAGTTGTCACCTCTTAGGATTACCCACTTAGAACTCCAACTCCCAAGCCCTGCCACTCCAAGCCACAGAGTGGTGAATGTACTAACTGTATATAGTGTAATAATATGGAACCATGTGAAGGTGTTGTGAAGTTGTAAGAACATGGAGTGAGTTGGTAGTGCACCACCATTCACTCCCAGATGCGCGATAACTGCTAGAGGGGTGCTGAGGTACAATGTCTCTCTGACTCGCCAATAACCATAGGTGGTGAGTACAGTAATAATTATGTTATTTCTTATTGACTAACATGTATGTCTAACATTTCTTACGACTAAAACATTCATTTTATGATTATCATTTTTTAGCCTACTACTCAGTTTCTGAAGGGAGACTTCCCAAGATTCATCAGACCTTTAAGGGTTAAATGGCATTCAGATGTACTGTATAATCTCTTACAAATGATCAAAATTAACAGATGGCATAAAAATAATTAAAATTGAATTAATATATGCCAATTTTTTCTAGTTTGTTGAGACTCAATATTATAATAGTAAACTCACAAATATATATACAGTACAGTACACTCACTTCGGGTCAAGTCGAACATGTTTCGAGGAGATTGTGCCATGTGAGTGAGTTCCTTTTCCTGGCAGTGGTATCTGGCCAGAGTCTCCGAGAAGAAGTCTTTGATTGTTGGCATCACTGTAAAAAATATATATATGTACTGGCCCTACTGGATACAGTACTTGTAAATAATGTAGCCGACTACTGATGCACGCACGCGCACGCACACGCACACACACACATGTGCACGCACGCACGCACGCACACACACACATACACACACACTCTCTCTCCTGTCAACTGTCCCTCTTTTGATGTTGCCAATTTGCTACATAAAAGTGTGATAAAAACATACATTTTCAAGGATAAAATAACCATTGGTATACACTCAAATCCATAAATAAATAAAATTTTGTCTTTTTGTAAATTTGGAAATCATACACTAGCCTGAAAGTTTAAATGAATAATCCTAGAAATAAGCATCTGGCAGTTTTGTTGGCTATCTTTGTTAAATTGCCTTACTGTTTACCATTGTTGCATACAATGCCTGCACTGTCTACTCTCACAGCCTACACACTCGTACACTGCATACCTACATTGTCTATATTCATGCTGAGTTGTATAGCTACCTGCATAGTTTATGTACATGCCTGAAAGACAATTTCAGAGAATAAATATTATTACTGTACTATTGTTATTACTGTACTGTATAAGTATTATCATTAATACATAATGCAGAAGTTAAGAATTTATCAACATAATGGTGATCTATATGTTCAGTTCTGCAGGAATAACACAATATACAGTAAAGTAAAAATTATTGAATTTACCAAATTATATTAGAAACACCAGTTTTCTTTTTCTCATAATCAGCATTACGGGGATGAGATATTGGGGTTAGGAGCTTAATGGGCCGCCGTTTACGGTACGATATTGCAGAGTCTTCCAGTCCTCCAACACCACGAGCCTTTGCCAACCCATCTTCCTCCTCTTGCTCTTCTTCCAGATACTGTCTCATGAAGCTCTCCCGTACCTGAAGGCAATTTGTTATCATTCTTACTTCACAGGTAAGCTTCCTCCTCATGAGCAAATCCAATTTAGTCATTATTATTGCCAGCTGTGGAAATACTAAATGTCTCTTTCAAATTAATATTTCCTCAATGTGATCACTCCAAATAGTATGTTGGTTTTTGGGTGTCACTAGCTATTGATAATGAGTGAATGTTTGGGTTTCTCATGATTTTGTTATCTACCATATTAGTCTTATTATATTACCCCTCAGTTGGCTCTGGTTCAACTCCTCACTATCTACTGACTCACCCAGTCCCATACATTACACCTTTTTAATTCCATTTCCATGCAAGGTAACAATTTTTTTTTTTTTTTTTTTTTAATTTTTTTTTTTTTTTTTTTACTACTGTATATAACAAGGTAACACCATAACATCATACCTTAGGGAGAGAGAAATCAGATGGCACCTTGTGTAATTTTGCCATTGTAGGACGATCTGGAAATTTTTCAAACACACGTAAGCGAAGAGGCAATGTTTCCTGTATGCCAGCACTCTGTTCTCGGGCCTTCATCTGTTTAAGCTTCTTGAAGTCCTCATCAAGTTCCAAGTTGTCGAGGATAACAGCTACAAACAAACTCAGCACAATCTGTAGATGATAATCTAATAATTTCCACAAACATTCTACTGCAAAATAAGTTTTTAACAAACAACAAGTAAATAGATTTCATGTACCATATTATTGATGTTACAATATTTATTATTCTCACTGTGCTTAAAAATTATACTGTACAGTCAACCCTCGCTTTACGCGGTCCCACTTTACGCGTTTCCACGTTTACGCGGTACCCTGCCGAAACCGGAATGCTCACTTTCCGCGGTGTGTGTACCCTTTTACGCGGAGAGCGGCGCGAGCAGGGTGCGCAAAAGGTCGCCCAGCCATCAAAACATTACCAAGTTCTTCACCCGCCACCCACCACAGCCGGCCCGAGTCAGTGATAGTGATAATGATAGTGAGGATATGGACTTGCATGGACTTTGAGGGGTTTGACAAAGAGGCCCTGCAAGCCTCTGTGGTGGATAGTGATACAATTGATACAAGTGATACAGGTGAGGGCCAATAATCTGCCCTCTGCCTCGGAACCAACCCCCCATCCCCGTGTGCCCAGCCATCTTTTCTACTAATGTAAGTGTTAAAAAACCTAATATTATTGATATTTCTCTTAATTATTAATTGTGTGTGCATACCATCATAAAATTAAGAAGTTATTTTTACTACAACGTAGGTATTGTGTCTGAAAAAGTGGAGTTTGGGGGTCGGCCAAGTCTCTATTTCAATTAATCCCATATATTAAGTTGTTCACTTTACGCGTTTCTCACTTTACGCGGGCCGCCGTGGGTTGAATTAACCGGGTAAAGTGAGGGTTCACTGTACTAATATTGTGTATTTCCTTGAGCAAACAGGTGATACAATATGAAACAAAAGCACTTGTGTCTTCCCGTGTAAGGAAAAAATTACACAATACTGAGTAATAAGATAATAATGATATCTTTACGATTTTACATTCAGGTGATACGGACAAAAATTAAGTCAATTATATCTTCCGTAACACTAGAAAAAGACTACAGGATATGGAGAATGATGAGAAATCTTACCAATGTCACAAACAGGTGATACAAGATGAAATAAATTGCTACAATTGGTGCAATCTCATCTGTAGTTCCATTCATGGTTTTAATCATGGTCTCATCCATGACCTCGACCCAACCCTCTTGTGTCAGAATTTGGAACATTGACATGAAGGCCTGCAAGTATACGATTATATAAAACAAAACCCTGTAAATAACTTACTGTTTATGCCACATCATTAAATTAAAAAGTCATGCACATAAACTAGTCTTCTATATTATTCACCTGTGTTAATAAATACCACACTAGTTATCCTCAACCATTACAAATGGCATAATGTTCACAGCAATCTCTCTCTATCTCTCTCTCTGAATACATTAAAACTTATCCCTTTCTGTTGTGCATTGATATTAAAATGACCATATTAATCACAACAGTATTCTATTGACATTCAAGACTGAACTCTAACCAAACTTCCCAACATTCCCCCTATACTGAGAACCCCAAGCCGTCCTGAAGCATTACTGTACAATATACTGTATGTACTATGTATACAGTAATGCATATTCCAGGAACTGTCTTGATTAAAAGTAAGTACCTTTGGCATGAAATTATGGCCACTTTTAATTTCACTTTCCGTGTCATCTTTCTGATCTTTGCAACTAGAAATTTTCATTATAACGACTGTAGTACAGTAATACAAGGTTCAATCTACTTAAGAATTGGTTCCATCAATGTTTAGGTACCCAAATTCACAGTCTCTCTCATTAATTTAAGTTCAGTTAAAATTACCAAAACTATAAAAAATTAACATTTCTTATAAAACTTATAGTACTAAGTTTAGATTCACTCAGGATTGTGGAGTGTGAAGCAGTACTGCACTGTAGCTCCTAAAGCCCATGCACCATCAACTCCTTGTGTTTGGGGTCTGTATTATCTACTCAAGTCTAAATAATGGACTTCTCTGTAACTCAATGATGTCATATCATCAACAGCAAAAGAGCTGTGCAACAAAGATTAACTAATATGTCCAGTACTGTAATTTTTAAAAGACTTAGTTTGCATATTATATTGTACTCAATTCAGGTTGTGGTGGCAACAAATCAAACCAAAACTTACATGTGCAAAAGTCTCAAACTTGTCATAATCATCAAGAAAACAGAAAAGCTGCATGGAGATAGATGAGGCAATCAGCAGGAGGCACATGGTGAAGAGAATAAGGCTGCCTAATTTCTTTCCAGGACCAAATATCTTATAAACAAAATCTTCCAAAATGGGGGAAGCCTTAATGAGCCGCACAACCCGGAGAACCTGGAAGAAAATTTTGATAAATTTAATCAAGCTGCTGTATAATTACATATTTAATTTATTTAATTTGATAATATGATGATAGGCTGCATGGTAGACATGAAATACAGTTCTCTTTTTAACCCCAGCAGAAAAAGGAATCAAAAACTAAATATTGACTAGAAGCATCTGACAAAGATTGAGTCATGCACTCTTTGGAGTACAGTATACAAACAAGTTTTTTGGCACTACAGCAATATTACATAGAGTGGTATGTGTTCTTCAGGGGTTTGATGATAAAGGAAATTGTGCATAGATGTATGATTAAAAGTGACAAATTGATCAAGAATGCAGGATAACTTCTGGAAATACTTGTAGAGTTGTATTGAAATATGTACAGTCAGTCCTCGACTTATGACGGGGTTAGGGACCGACGACCAGGTTGTAAGTCGAATTGGTCGTAAGTCGAAAATGCGAAAATAATACATAGAAAATCTAAATTGGGTGACTCTCTTTCTTCTCAGCACCATGAGAACTCTCACTTTTATGCTTGCCAGCCATTTTAAAGGAAATTACAAATGAAAATTTTGTCAGTACACAGCGCGATCACTAACGTCGGGACTCGAAATTAAGTACAATTCGAAAAATATTTTATACGACTGCGGTAGTCGTTTGTCCAGGTGGTCGTAAGTCGAAAGTCGAGGAGTACCTATACTGTATAATGCAAAGAGCAGTACTGTAATGACAAAGACTGGATTGAGCTTGTCTAGTATAATTATAAAATTTATATGCATTCCTACCAAATAATGTACAGAACTGTGCATGAAGCTGGTCCAGGAACAGAGGAAGCCCAGTTTAAAAAAAAAATTCAAGAAACCAGCAAAATGCTTCAAATGTCAAATATTTTTACAAATACTGTAGAGAAAAATAGCAATCAGAAACTAGTCATATAATAACACTCAAGACAAATTCAGATTTCCTAAATGCCCTCGTCAAATCTCATGACCTTATTGTAATACCATATACAGTACATGTGATTCATTAGTCCTTAAAGCCCATATGACATTCCTCTACATTTGCTAAGGTGACCCTGGGTGATGTTCCTCAATGTTCTGAATTTTTGCGGCATATTTTGATTGTAAAGGCGGGAAGATATACAGAGTATTTTGTATTGGATATTTATTTAATTGGCAAGTCATTTCACTCATAATCTTTGTCTTAAGACTCAACCCTCGTGGTCAGTTACTCACCAACTATCATGATGGATGCACGTCCTTCGACCTCCGTTCAGTAATTTATAGCTGCCGTATTTATTGCTATGATAAACAATAAAATCGATATACTGTATAGCATATCATAAAATACAATAGCACATAATTTCATGTACACAGAATAGCACCTTCCACACTCAAACCATCCTCTGAGCAGTCAACCAACTGACTCACAGACATGTAAGGGATCACAGCCACACAGTTATAGCCCAGTAACCCATCGGCTCAACAAACATTCCCTTTCCACATACTGTTTACACACCGATGCTCTTCATTTTTCTTATTTTATAGTTTTAAATAATATTTTCCATATTTCTAATCCACATTAGAGTATTGCAATGATTTTTCCATAACTATTATACTGTAGTGTCATTACAAATTTACAAGTAACAATATATGAGGAGGCTGGGCTGGTGAGTCGGCCACGTAGTTTATAGCCAAAGCCTTGGCTATAACCTCCTCCACACATGTTCACTTCTCACACATACACACCCTTCAATTTCTTGTTTTATTTATTTCTGAATCACGTTAAAGTATTGTAATGATTTTTCCACAACTTTTATAGTTTCATTACAGGTAACAATAAACGCGGCAGCCGGGCTGAGGAGACGGTCACATAGTTATACCCCACCTCCTACACGTTCACTTTTCTAATTTTATAGTTTTAAATTACATTTTATTTATTTCTAAGCTACATCATTTATATAGAGTAAAATAAGTTTTTTTTAAGTATTTTTTTTTTTTTTTTACAAAAAATGTTCACGTGGGGGTTGCGTCACATGGGCTTTAAGGGTTAACTGACAGCAAGGGATTCCCTATTCTGCCCCCATATGAGCAAAAATGGAATGGAAGGAACATGAAATGTCCAGTGATGAAGGTCTCCATCCTAAAGATAATTCCCACTAATGATGGTTGCAGTTTAAGGGTTAATTGTACATAGATGTTCACACTCACTTGAAAATAAGTAAATGAAGTCATGAAGAGGTAAGGTATCAGCCTCACTGTTGTTCCAACAGCCAGAAGTAATTCAAACTTGTGGATGCTGAGACGCCAATATCCTCGCAAACCCAAACACCACATTTTGAAGATAACTTCTAAGTTAAAAAATATTGTGAATCCCACCTGCACAGGATGAGAAAAAAATACCACATTAAACCTAGAGAGCAGTTCTGTATATCCATATCTGAGATAATCACTCACTAAAATAGAGAAATATAGAAACCCCTTCTACATTTGCTTGAATAATTTTATGCTTTTGGAGTTCCACAAACAGGATGTAAAGTCAACCCCCCCCACCCAAAAAAAAAAGAGTAAGGGTAACCTTCAAAACTCATTAGTACAGTCACGCGCCGGTTAACGTCCGACCGAACAACGTCCGATCGCATATACGTCCGTGCCGCACCCCCCCCCACCCACCCAAAAAAAGTGACGCCTGCTGGACCACCACTCCACGACCCCCTGACAGAGACATGATGATCCTCCCCATACTGGTCAGATATTATGTGTTAAAGGAATATGCTTCCTTACTTAGGCTTTTTTTAAGCATTTGCCTACAGGTGAAATGTTAACCTACATCTATTGAGGATAAAATATTTCACCTACAAATTGACAATAACACATTTGCTGTAATCTGACATATCTAGTTGCCTCAACAATTGCAACCCCAGTTGCAATTGGGGTTGCAATTTCAAATTCTGTGGCATTACTAAAAATAGTAAAGTTTCTGGTGCACTCTAAGATTAAGAGAGAAAACGGAGGACTCAGGCGTCCTGAGGTGAGAGAAAACGGCCTCGTATGACGGGGAACCAAATAAAAAAAGCATAGCTACATGTTTTGTGGACTACAGTATTAAGCGTACCCTTTTCATCACTTTGTAATAAACCTAGCCATGCCTATGTGTGTTTATGATATTTACCATAACATTATATATATATATATTTAGTGGATCTAAATGGTCGTAAAATGGGAAACTTGGGGTTGGGTCTTGAGTAAATGAACCAATTAGAATAAACCCCATAGGTTCTGTACTTTCGTTATCGGCGGGGTCCCAATTAGGCGCGATAACCAAGGGATGACTGTACTGTACTGTATATACTTGTGACACTGGCCAGTTGCTTTTGGTGTTATGGTACAGGAGTACCAAGTGACAGCACTAGGATCCCGCTTCCTCTATCAAGGAATAAACAATTAAAATTTAAATTGAAAAAAAAAAAAAAAAAAATTCAAATAAATTACTATTTTACAAGAATCCCTCCAATGTAAGTTATATTCACCCAGGTCGTTTGGGTGGAAAATTATGAGAAGAGCTTAGTCACTCCTAAGTAATGATAAATAAACACGCAGGCAGGCCTTCAGCGCCAACTGTCAAATCTTACCCACCACCCTCGTGTTCAAGATAAAAGATTGGTGATTTCTTTATGTTTATTTTATATAATATCTCAGACTAAACTTAGGATAATATAATTTGCATTGCTGAAATCCTTGCAAGACAGAGATTAATTTGAATATAAGCGTCATATATTTTGCTCAAGATATAAAAAATGTAGTACATTAGTGTACAATACTGTACTGTAGTACATTTTATAAAAAGTTTTTCAACTGTATTTTTGGGTAGATTTACATAAATTTCTTCATTTATTTTCATCCAATTACATGCACACACCATACTAAAGAAACGTAAAATAAATTAGTGCAAAGCTGGAGTGCACATGTACTAATTTGATTACGGTACTAAAATTGTTATGTCTAGTGCGAATTACAACATGTTTATATTCAAATTAATCAGTATCTTACAAGAATCCCAGCTATGTTAATTATATTTTCCTAGGTCATATCACTGGCATTTTAAAATGAAAGAAGCTTAGTAGGGCTGTTAAATAAACACACAGAGACCTTCGCCTCAAACTGATCACCTCAACCCCCCCCCCCCCCCCAACCCCTCGCTGGGTGGCGGAGCCGTCAGTCCCCCCCCCCCAGCCAGGCTTTTAGGCTTACAGTTTTTATCTTATATAATATCTCAGACTAAAGTTAGGAGATTATAATTTGCATTGCTGGAATCCTTGCAAGACAGCCAATAATTTGAATATAAACATCGTGTATTTTGCTCAAGAGATAAAAAATTTTGTACATTAGTGTACAGTACTGTAGCGCATTTTATAAAAAAGTTTTTCAACTGTATTTTTTAGGTAGATTTACACAGATTTCTTAATTCATTTTCATCCATTTACATGCACACACCATACTAAAAGAAACGTAATAGAAATAAATGACGTTAGTGCAAAGCTGAAGTGCACATGTACTAATTTGATTACAGTACTAAAATTGTTTTGTCTAGTGCAAATTATAGCATGTTTATATTCAAATTTATCAGTATGTTACAAGAATCCCAGCTATGTTAATTATATTCACTCAGGTCATTTCACTGGCTTTTTATAAGAGAGAAGCTTAGTCACCTAAGAACTGATAAATATACACGCGTTAGACCTGGGCCTGTGCCAACTGTCAAACGTACTACCTCCCCTCCCCCCACGCCCCCTCGCTCGCTCCCACCCTCTCCCCCATCTGCTCGGCGTTGCTGGAATCCTTGTAAAACAGTGAATAATTTTAATGTAAACGTCATGTATTTTGCACAAGAGATAAAAATCAATCACCTGAATCACATTACAGTAGTGATTTAACAGTAAAAGTGTATATGTACGTATATAGTATTCCACATACACAAGTATAAATAAAAAGTTTATGTGATGATCGGACAACGTCCATTTCGGTTAAAGTCACGTTTCCAAGAACGTATCTAGGACGTTAACCGGCACATAACTGTATATCTAATTTATTTAAGTGCACTTAAACACTGTAGACAACAGGATGTGGACAGCTACATCAGTAAAATAAGAGAAGTATATGATATGACACCTACACATTAATTCTTCACAAAATCTTCCTGGGTACAATATACAGTATGGAACAATTTAACAACTAATTGCTACATACATACCTCTATGTAGTAATAATAATGGTAAAATTCCTCCCTCTTTCTTCCGTCATGTTTAAAACTTAGAGAAGCAGCTGCAATGGCATTAGCAACAATTGCTGCCATGATAAGGAGATAATAACCAGCACTGACAACAACCTTCATGCAGAACTTAGGTGCCCATCCTCGTGGCTTGTTGTCGTCCACATAGAGAAGTTTCCACCCATGGTCATCTCCTGACAATACCTGGATGTAAAAAAAAAAAAAAAAAAATCAGTACAGGTACAGGGTGTAATTTTAATTACCCGGTATTGTCTCACGTATAGCTGAAATATTTCCAAATTATAAGAGTTTCAAGAAAATCACAATGGCTATTAGTTAAATTTTTGCATCTTTCCAACTTTATATGTGCGTGTGTGTGTGTGTGTGTATTATATTGATAATGACTTCTGTTAACCAGCCTTGATGGAGGATGAATTTTTTTTTTACCTGTGTTGTTCTCTCTTCCTGGATGTGTCCCCGGAGGCCCCATATCTGCTGAAACTGTACACGCATTTCATTGAAGGTTTCAGTGATAACAGCAATGAAAACATTTTTGACCAACCACGAGAGGAAGAAGATCATGGTTGTGAAGAAGAATGTTGCTCGCCAGCTAGGCAAGGAATCAATGGCCTGGTACATTATCAACACCCAGCCTTCTTGGGAGGCAGCTTGGTAGACTGTAAAGATACTTGTTGCTGGAAAAAAGTTTAAAAGTCAAAATTATCATAAGCACTTGGTGACTTTCTCTTCTCTTGAATGATTAATATCTTATAAATTAGCAAGGTAAAAATTATGAGATTGAAGTATACAAAAGTAAAATATATATTTTATACAGAAGACATACTGATCATTATTCCTACAACTGTGTTCTCCTGTTAAACAAGCAAAAGCACATACCAAAATTTTTGAATCCATTAAATCCACTGACTTTCTTAGCTAGCTCAAGGGGAACACATTTCATTCCAGTAGGGCATTGATAACCTGAATCTGCTTCAGTTGAGCAAAAAGTATCAGGGATTGCCAAACTGTTGAGGGTGACATTTCTGTGAATTGAGAAAGGTTACAGATATGAAGGAGTGCAATGATTCTCTTATTTAGAATTATATAGTTTAGGAATAGCACTTCTAATTCATTACAGTAAGGAGCAAAACAGTTAAAAAAATAATAACATCTATTAAACCATGAAGTTAAACATACAAATACTGTATTGCTTCTTTATAGACACCTTTCCATTACACCAAAATGTTCATCACAATGAATTTCAATACAGCATTCTAAGGTTTAACAAAGATTAGATTCCTCTTATACCCTCTCAAACTACAGCGTACATATTATTGGAACATCTGGAAGTTTTAAGTGCTTACACTGTTATCTCAACTGATTATGGCACATACTCAACAAATAAAAAGTACAGTACTTACTTAATATCAGTATCATTCTTAACACAATGATTCTGAAGCTCCCCAAATAACTGCACTCCAAGAAGCCCATACAAGGACATGAAGAACAAGAAGAAAAGCGTCACATTGTATATCTGTTGACTTGAACGCCTGAAAATGGATGTACAGATAAAAAATTTGAAAATAAACAGAAAATCAATATACGGTAGCACTTAATCTTAAAAACTTCCTAGATTCTCCATTGCATTCATTTATAATCCCATATACTGTACAGTATATTACCTCACAGTTAAATCTACTTACTTGATAATTTGCTTTAATCTGTTCTTTGGCATGGAAAACTTGAGGAAGATACGTATAAGACGGACAACAATAAGTGGTCTTGGAGCACGTAACACAGACAAGTAACTGTGTTTATCTACCCAATCAAACATCTCCTCAAACATCTGTAGAATGACTGAGATCCACAAGAAGAACACCATACTAGCATCATACTGACACCAGCGGTCCTTTAGGTATGGAACTTCACCCTGCAAGGAAACACCCCAAGGAGGGAGTTTTAACACTAACAACAATACAGCAACAGGTAATGGAGGATAGCTTTAATCAGTGATCTACAGTGAATAAGACTACTGTACAGCTAAAATATTCTTTCTTTCAACAATACAGGTATTACCTATGATTTCTGAACATAATATTTTAAGAGTTGAAGAGGTATAAAAATAGTGAGGTGAAGATAACTCTATGGGGAGGTACAACCAAAGACAAAAGTCATGTCGCGGTTTTGTCCACAGATCAAATATAACTTGTAAAACATTTTTGAGCCCTACTACAAGACAGTGCACCAAAAGTTTTAGCTCTTTGGCATATGTTTTCGCCAAATTTCACGACACTATTTTTGTCTTTCATTCTACAGTTAAAACAAAGAAATGGTTGGATTGTAATTTGTCATATAAGGTACCTGGTAGATGCATCAAGCTAAAGAAAGGGATATAAATGGTACGAGTATTTTGAGAGAAAGAATGAGGAACAATAACTCAAGAGTGCTAATACTTATAGGGAAAGACTGAAAGTGACATGCTATCACATACTGATGGATGTTCTTACATACAAAACAATGAAGGGAATCCTATTTGCTTACTAAAGCTGAGATGCTTACATGGGTGTGAATTGCATTATTACTGCACAGTACTGTACTGTACAATGATTTACAGAATATATTTAATGACTAGTTCTTCCTTTTTTAAACCCAAACCAACAGCTAAGGTTTCCCTCCTCCTTCCCCATATGCACAAAAATGGAACACAAGGAACATGAAATGTCCACTGATAATGACAGCCTTCCCTACAGCAAGCTAACTTCCACTGATGATAGCCACTATTTGAACCCCATGTGTATAGGGATCCCTCTGTGCTGAATGAAATCGTCTGGTGTTATCAAAATAAAATATTTGAAGTGGCATCCCTAAAGTGTATTAGGGGTTAATATTGATAACAGTACGAATGGAAATTTTCTATTTGTTTAACTGAAACAAGTCATCAAAATTTCAACAAATCCTCACCTTTAAAATTCCCCTTGCTTGCATTTTGGCAACCATTTCCACAGTGAAGAAAAATGTGATTGCCAGATCTGAACAAAAGGTAATATATTGTAAACTTGGGTAGAGTTCTTTGGAGCGTGGTGTGTTTGCTGACACGGACACAAGAGATACTAGTGAACATATTCGAAGGAGCCATCGTATCCATCTCTGAAAAATATAAATTCATTTTACAAAAAGACCAATTAAGACTGTAAATTTGAAATCCCATGGGAGTGTTTTTGTACCTTTTTCTTTGTCGTTGTTCAAAGGCTCGATAGAGGTTATTCTCAACATGCTGACTTAAGATCTAGTTTCAAGATACTTTACTTGTGATACAATATATAGTTGTGTTAATGAACTTCTAAAAAATTTCATAAATCCTAATTCATCATTTCATTTAGGCTTTTAATGCTAGAATGACAAAGCTACAGTACTTAAAAATTTTAATTTACAATTCCATGAGAAAATTTCCTCTTATCCTGAAGAAGCCCCATGACCGATAATGCTCTCAGCCCTTACTGTTTTCCGATTTTGTTCAAAATTGTACTATAATATCTATGGACAAACTGTTTAATTTCTACAGTGTTAAGTGTTAATACAGTATATGCATAAATATTCACCTTATTGGCCCAGTCAATGTCTGAGCTTTCATTTAGTATCTCCTCTGGTCCAAAGTCTGCAAGGATGTGCTCCCCTCTAAGACTTTGTTTACGGCCCAACATTTCCAGATGGTTGTCACATGTAATTAATTAAGATTCATTTTTCATACAAACTGTAAAGGATATTAAAAAATCATTAAGCACAACACTTAATTTCAACAAGCAATATACTGTACTGTATAAACATAGTTGTACAAAGAAAATGAACTTACCAAATCTTTCCTAACCTTACCTAATTATACTGAGTCGACATTTATTCAGAAAAATTTTCACTGAAGTTCACATTGGCGTAGTATGTACTGTACAATACCCCCAAAGAAGTATCAGTACCCATGGGGTCGATGTGGTTCATGGCTTTGTGAGCAGTGTTCATTCACTAGTTTCAGAATGGTTGGTACAGTCGACCACAGCTATCGGTATACACTATTATCCTCTGTGTGGATCAAATTAACTGGCAACATTCTCATGCAGAGAACTGCCAGAATTTTAAATGACTATTAATTTAAATTATATTCCTATCGGCCTCCCCATCCAGTTGTTACCAATATGAGGAACAGGCGTACTGCCATATGATGATGCAATGGAGACTATATCAAAGCATTTCATTCATCATTTCAAATTGTAAAGATGAAAAAGTAACAGTACAACTGTGCAGATATACAAACAATGTCAATTTGACAAAATAAAACCAAGAAAACTAAATATGACCAGCACTATATTGACCAGAGACTGAGACTGGTGGGCTGTTTCTGGGACACCTGAATATTGACCCCACCCCCCCCCCCCACCCCCGGCTAATTTTTACTTTAGATTAATCACCCTAAAGCACTTAACCTAACCTAAACTAACCTAACCCAACCTAATTTAACCTAATCTACCCTAACATAACCTGATAGCAACCTATCTTAATTTAACCTAACCTGCCCTGATGCTAACCTAACCTCAGCAAGTAGCATTAGGGAGCTTAATCTTCAGGTGAAATATCTAAGTATTAGCTATCTAAAAGTTATATTAATATTATAAGGAACACACACAATAAACTGTATTCACCTATGAGTAATACTTGTCAATTTTGGTTTAACTGACATCATAAGGAACTCACTTGATGAAAAGGTCAGACACCTGCTGTATACATAATGGATTAGATTCATTTTAATTATCATACGCTTATATTGACGGTATAAGAAACTAACTATGAAATATATTCAATCTATAGTAATATTTATCGATTTAACGTTGCACTGTATTGATGAAATAAGGAAGTTAACAGAAGAGAATTTACAGATATGGCTACTGTGTACACAATAAACTATTGTTACTTTATAGTAATTAGTGCCATTTTAAAGTTACATTTACATCATAAGTAACTCACAATTGAAGAGGAGGTACAGGAATGGCTGCAGCATACATAATAAGAGTGTGTTCTGTGTCAGTATTTAGAGCCATAGGTGAGGGTGTGACAGGTGCGCCAAGTACACCTCTCCGGCCCCCCCCCGCGCACCTCTTCTCTATCTTCCCTAACTTTTAACAATATTTTCCCCGGATTTCAACATATTAGTATAGTTTTATTAAATTTTATCTCCAAAATGCCTATATTACAACGAAGAGTAAGTTAGCAATTGAAATAGATGCTGTTTATTAGGTTAATGTTTGTATGTCTGCAGATTGTTGCTTGACTCTCATTAAACTCAGGAATTATATCTAGTGTAGAGTTATCCCACAGTAGGCTGGAAATACGCAATGTGTAATAAAATCTTATATATATATATACCACATATCACAAATATTAATAATAGTATTTCATCCACATTACATAATTATTAATATACGTTCATTATCAGAGCCAATATATGCAATAATTATTCCCAATAGAAATACAACAAAACAGAGCAATGTATAGAGATGAGTGATATTAACAAAACTGGGTTATGGTTATATAGAGGAGATATTACTGGTGGTGTATGAGGTAGTGTGTGGTGTTAATAGTGTGTAAACAAGGATGGATGGTAATGACTCATGAGCATTATCGTTCCCGGACATCCTCGCCAGTATGAGTTATCTCTTCGTCTCACAGTTGCAACAATAAGTGCGAGTATGAAGAGTTCATGTTTTAAGAACAGTACTTAAGGTAAGTTTGTTGGTTAAGATGTAATACGGAATGAAGTTAGTCACACAATTCGTCACTCATCTAGTAGTGTCTCGGTTGACACTTGTGCTAGTGACAGATGGCTCGTGAGTTACATGTATAAGTATCTGTTATATCCAAATTTTTGGTTGAGGACTAGAAGGTTAATGCGTCTATAAGTCAGCATATCTAAGTGCCAGATGGGTAATGTGTTAAGATGACCTTATATTTACACTAAAGTCATTATATAAGGTTGTGTTGTGAGTACGTGTTATATGAATCGTTGTGCCACCTAGAACTTTTCATCTTGGATGGATGCCTGTTTATCCAATCATTAAGAGAACACCCCACGAGGGGTCATAGCTTAAGGTTGAAGAAGCCAGAAGTTGAGAAAACTGTAAGGGCAAACCTTTTTGGCGTGTGTTAGTTGTGAACTCTTGACAAAATCTGTCAAGTGTTGTGATGACACCGAGTTTGATCTCATTCAAGACCAGACTTGACCAACCCTGGTGCAGGTACAGATACATTATGGAACCAGTGTATACATGCCCAATACAGTACTTGCCAACAGAGACGTGACCAAATCACCCAAGTGGCTGACAAGTGACCAAGAGAATAAATTCAATACCTAGTCTGTTATGGAAATATGATAAAACAACGTATGTGTTACTGCCATGATCATGTAAATGTCATTTTTTTTTATTTAAGATTTGGTAATTAGCTCAGTGGCCTTAAAGAGAATAGTGTTTGTGTGTACGATAGACATAATAATCAGGTCTTTTCCACTATACCCCTACATTTTTTTAAGGTTAGTGAACTTAACCTAACCTACAGTATAGTTTATTTTTTATTGATATCCAAATAAACATCGCCTACCAATATGACGTATTGTTTTGTGATTGGATGATATGACCGTATTCCCAGTATAAGCCAATTTTAGTAAATCTAGAGCACTCAAGAATCCACAGTATACTCAGACAAGACTGGACCACTTAGGTCTTACTTTACAATTCATAAAATAGATCTTCAATTACTTATTACACAATTAAACAACTGTTATATTATTTCTTTGACAAATAAGATGGTTATTTTACACTCTCAGATAGGACTGGACCCTTAGGTCTTACTTTTCCAAGTAGCAGAATAAATCTTCAATTCTTGGTTACAACATTAAACAATCATTATATTATTTCATTGTCAATACAGATGGTTGTCGTATGAGATCAAACACCTTCAGTAATCAAGGCTTTATTCAACTCATAACTCCATATACATCTGCAACAGAACAAAACAAAACACAATTAGAACAAGAGAATATTTAGAGTAAAGGTAAACACAAACTTAATTTATTCCATAATATGACATTGGTTATATGACACTTGACAATATCCCAAATTAACATATTATTTATAACATCATGTTATTTTGGAATGAACAACATGGCACTTTTCCTTCAGTTGGTAGTACATATGAATGATGTACTCAACCCACATAACACATTATTACTGGTATTATCAATATTTTAAGGGTTCATTACTCAACATGGGATAACTATATTTCTGCTAATTATCCCCACAACAAACAAAGAGCGCTGTTAGAGCCGGTTGCAGTCCGACACAGTCCCCCAGTGACTGTCAGGTATTCAGCTAACACACACTCTGTTCCAAAGATGTGACAAAAATAACTAAATCACAAATAATCTTTCGTCTGGCAACGACAGACGATATTTACGTTACATTAATTCTTTCACTGGGTAAATGACAATTTCACTGTTACAACATGAACACTGATATTCACAAAATTCACCGAGTTAAACTGTCTTAATGTGTTGGGCGTGGGAACATACACATACCTGAGATATGATGGACAGCGTCAGAGATGTGACGCTGCTCCTCGTACACAAGTTTATATACAGCTAACTGGCAACTCAGGCCTGTCTGCTACACATTCCAGAAAGGCTAATCACGCAATGACAGAAATTACATTCTACTCAGTCGTTGTACATTTAACTATGAAAATCAATGCCATGGGTCAGGTGAATTTCTTACGTCTATTTTTATGATCTAATCAGAGATTTAGCTTGCCAGGAAAAAGTGAAATGGAAATCAAATACACACACTAACAACACTATTTTCACAAGTTCAGCAAAACTACGAACAAGGAACTATTCATGGGGATACGTTAGATTTTGGAGATTATACAGTTTGACAGCATCTTTCAGGAGACTAATGACTTTCTTAAATAAACAACTGACACTAACTAAACTACAAACATCAGATTCTCTGATGTTTGGGCATCAAAATGATCTAATTTCAGCAGTATTTATAAACTCATGGCTATCCCCAAAGACGATTTAAGGTCATGCCCCTCGTACTGGCAGACTTGACAAGTTTCACTAACATTAAAGACAGTTGAAGCTTTCAACATCACTCACAAGGGATCTTGAATGTTCCATATGTAATCAGACATATCTAGGTTGCCTTAACAGCTACGACTACAGTTGCAATTTCAAATTTTGCGTCGTTATACCAACGAATACGGAGTCTTGGGTGCACTCTAAGATTTTGGGAAAATGGAGGATTCAGGCATCCTGAAGTGATGAGAAAATGGATGCCTCAGATGGGGGACTCAATAAAGAAGGCATAGCTACATGTTTTGTGGGCTATTGAGCGTAATATGAATCGTCTGATTTTACGTTAACTGACGTGTACAACCGTGGTCATTACAATGATAACATAATAAGAAACATTGTATCATTACTAGAGTGAATGAAATAATATTCCCACAAACAACAATTGACAACTCTGTTTATGTTTTCCACCTCCTCGTGCACCTGTGTTCAAGCAACTGATGGGTCAAGCAGTGCCCACGGGCCTAAATTGTTCTTTGCTCTGGTTTGGGAATGCTTTTTAGGGAAACTTCTAGGAGGCTACTTAGCCCAGAACCCCAAAACTTTTGTCTGGATCTTCCAAAATCCGGATTTCCCAGGTCCGGAGAGATTTTGCTAGGAGCTCCATCACTTGCCCTCCAATCGACTTGACTGTTGAAAGACAAGTGTGTGATAATTTTGACTCAAAACTCAGGGGATCATAGGCGAATGGCTCCAACCAATCACAAGCTGAAACTAAAATGAGGGGCTCTGCTTATTTTGGATACAGTATCAGTAAAAAATTAACTGTAGGTTGGGTTAAGTTAAGTTAAAAAAACTAACTTACCTTATTTTATGCTTTTTTGCCGTCTGTGTCTGATTAACAGGCCTAAAGTTAGCTGGGTGTAGACTGATATCTGTTATGTTATTTTTCTTTACTTGCTGTCTTTGGTATGCTTGTACAGTATTTATTGAGCATAAAATTGCCACCACATTACCGGGTATTTTATTTACATCCAGTACTGTACAGTACTGTATATCTAATATGTCGTGTTTGTTCCTTTCAGAGATAGATTTTTGTATATATACACTAGATAACTATTATTTAAGATTAGATAGATTAGGTTTGTGCATTTATGAACAAATATTCATGGACCTTGGTGACCTATTCCACCAGAAATGCTTGGTAATTGCTAACATTCCGGAAGCACCAAATATTGCTACATTATATAATTTATTGTTCATAAAAATAAACTAGACTAACTTAACTAATCTCACCTACCCATACATAACTTAACCTAGCCTAAAATAATATTTATCTTCTACCATCAGCCTATAAAAAATTATCCTTCCGTGAAATGAACCAATGAACTCGTCCTCAAACAAACACTCTCATCCACATGATTTTATGCCTGTGCTGCTAAATGGTGGCTGTCAGACTGCAGCATTAAGCCAGTTGCTCAAGCCTAACCTAACAATTTTAGATTGTGGATTAGCATTTGACTACAGTACCATATATTTTAATATTTCAGAATGGCTTCCTCTGCTTCTCGTTCTGAAGTGGATGAAGAAAGATGTTACTTTGGAAAAATCACAAGTGATGAAGCAAAGGAAATCTTATTAAAAGGTATGCAAGAATCTTTTAAGATGTCTCAAACTAGAGAATAGAGCATGAAATAAAGACACCAGGGAGATATTATTTAATGAAAAGATTTGTACTTCGTGACATTTACCCCGGTACAAGTTATGGGTTGAGTGGAAAGAACAAATGAGGATGTTCATTTACAAGTTGCGAGTGGAAAACATTACTCGCACAGAATAAAACATGGGAGGACAAAAGTGAGGTAGCATACATTAACAGGTACTACATTAGTTCATTAGAGGAATATCTTAAACTATACAGTGACATTTGAAGAAGGATATTCATGGGCTATTCAGCTGCAGAGCTGAAAACATTATTATTCATGTCAATATGAGATTATTTACTAGTTGAAATTACAGTATCGAGTTCTTTCGAGATAAACCAACTTCTTAATGAACCATACTGTACACAAGTCATTCTTCTGAGGCCTAAATACAGTACTGTACAGTATTGTTAAATGCTCAGATTCGAGAAACTGATCCTCGGTAATTAATTAAACATAGGCACTCACTGGCCTGTGTTGGACCTGCCATTGTTGTGAACCATAGTACAAAAAATATTTTAATGATCTAGTTGCAAACATTCTTGTCTTAAGATGATTTGCTTCAGGTTTTAGTACAGGTGGCCCATAAATCCCTGTAACCCAGCATTGGCAGACAATGCATATGTCATTTCCATTCAAAGCAGTTGGTTTTTATTGCAGACGGAGGAGAAGAAGGAACATTCCTCATACGGAAAAGCTGCTCGTCTAGAGGAAACTATGTCTTGTCATTCATCACTGAAGGTCATCCAATACATATTCTGATTCAAAAATACAAAGAAGATGCATTTTTTTCTCTTGGTATGTTTCCAGGAAAATGTACTTAAGTTTATATTGTATATACAGGTAAATATACTAAACTTTGCTTTGATTATAAGAATACCCTGTAAATACAGTATACATGTAAATGCAAATCACAGTGGGATGTTTGAATGTGAATGAATGTAATCAATGATTGAAAATTAGATGAATATAATTAACCCATATGATTTTGTTTTGAGCAAAACAAACATGAAGGACTCATGATTCAGTGAGAAATATTATACAAAATTTCAAATTTGACAGTGGTTGCAGATGAAGCCCCAGTATTCCATGGCTTGGACACTCTGATAACTCATTATTGTAGTAACCCAGTTGGGGCTTCATCCACCATCCTGAGCCACCCTTGTGTAGGAAAACAACTGCCTGCTGAAGTTAGACTTCATGGCTCTTCCAGTCTTCTTCACAGATCCACCAGTCAAGGTAAGATTTACCATATACCTGTACATCACTATAATACACACTGGATGAATCATTGGGTTTGGTTGTTTCATAATTAAGTTACAATATGTACTATTGAATTAGAAAGTTGTCTGTTTAGTGTCACAAACCAATTGTAAACTAGTATGATTATTTTACTGAGTAAATTTTATTATTATTATTAAAATAAAGTCAAATATGGATGGTAGGAGGGAGAGGGGAGGACTTAAAAATACAAGGATGGGGAAAAGGATGCACTGAAAGAGGGGTGATAAACATACAAGAAGCATAGATTGTGACTTCAAATTACAGTATATTTAGAAAGGATGTGCTACTGATAGTGATGGTCGCTTGAGTGGAGTGATAGAGGGGAGTGCTGTACCGTAACAAAACAAATATTTTACAAAAGTAAATGTGTGTGGTTTTGTTTTTAGTCACTGTGCACGATATTTGAAAAGACTTTAAAGAGTGAAATAAAAAAAGTTAGTTTCATACAGTGTAGCACAATAGTGACAGGTCCCCAGAAAGACAGAGGTTATGATTATAACCAATATGATATTTTAATGTTACTCTATAGTTTTGACAAAATATGTGATCATTACAGGCAACATAAACATTGTGTTAGAACTACTTAAATGTGGCTATAAGAAAATTGATGAGAAAAATAACAATGGTCAAACTGCACTTCACATAGCAAGTATGAAGGGCTATGAAGAAATTGCAAAGATGCTCCTAACGTCAATGGCCTATGTTGAAGTTCGTGATGAGGAAGGAGTAACACCATTACATGTAAGTTCATTTTTAAAGTTAGTGTGATCTTTTAAGCTATTTAGTGTCACAATCTGTCAGCATCTATGTTTGAGTGTGTATTTAGTATTTCCCACTGTACGTACTTGAGGATAGTCAGAAATTATCATGGGTCCAGAGTGCAAAATGAGCTCCACCTACAACAGTTGACAGAGACCAGAATTACAAGCTGTTTAATTTATATGCATGAGTCAAGTAACAAGTGAAGCAGTTCAGAGCAATTTATAGACACTGAAAACCTACATTTCAATAAAATAATACTTATGCATATGGCAATGATATCATTTGGCACTCAAACTGCTGCTAGGTACATCCTGACAACTAGCCCCACCTTCTTGTCATTTGAGGTCAATGCAACATCATTTCTGAAAATTTTGTACAGTATGTGCAATTCTTACCATGTGCATCTGACTTTAATCCCAAAAGGTCAAGTTCATTCTATTTCAGCAGAATCATTTTTAAATTTCTCTTTTTAGAATGCAAGACTTGCATTGACATCCTTTTGACATTAGGATATTTAATATGGGGTAGCTATGCATGTTAACCTTAACATCTCTCACTCTCTTTTAAGATCAAAATGACCTCATTTCTATATGCTGTTTCCAGACTGCTTGACCAGGTACAACATTCTGTATTGTACCTGATAGAGATCTGATATGCAGATACTGTACCTGTATTACTGAAACACCAAAAACTCATTTAGCTGTCAACACTGAATGGTGACTTTTACCTCCCATACACCTTCTGAGGGATGGGTTTGTAGCCTGGGTTACAACCCATGATACTGTACTTGATGGATACTACAGAGAAGTCTCCTTGGCCCAACTAAACTGTAAAATGGGATTGCCAGGATCAGTTCTTCGTTAATGACATTACTGTACAGTATTACTTTTTGCATGGTATATATATATATATATATATATATATATATATATATATATATATATATATATATATATATATATATATATATATATATATATATATATATATATATATATATATATATATATATATATATATATATATATATATATATATATATAATTTTTTTTTTTCATATTTTACTGGTAGAAGTGTTTATTTGTATTTGTATTTTAAGTGGTAAATCCTTAACTTTTTATTTTGCTTCCTCCATAAGTAGTGCCATCACTTCTTAACTGTTTATTCATAGTATTCACAGCCTCGACAGAAGTTCATGACTTATGACACTTACGAGCTTGACGTAATGGCACTTGAATGATTATTGTAGAACTTGTAATACAGCCACCTTGACCCCACATGTACTGTAGTAGCAAACCATCTCACTTATACAAAAACTACATCTCATAAGTGGCAGACATTTAGATTTTCATATTTTTTAGTGCATGATTTTTGTGTGTATGTTTTATTACAGCTTGCTTCTAGATACAATAGACCTGGTATAGTACGACTCCTTGTAGAGAAGAGCAAAGCTGATATCCAAAGCAGAGCTACAAATACAGGTAAATATTGCAGTTATTTTATGTACCACATTTTAGTTAACTATAGTACAGTGATTTTGGTTTTAAAGTTGTATATTTTCCACCAACAGCTGCTGAATATGAGGGATGTGTACACACTAAAAAAATATTCTGCACCCTTGGTTCTGAAACCATCTGCAGCGATCACTGCAACAGAAGCCGTGATGAGTGTTATCAGATTTCTTGGACCGGTGTCATATTGTATAACCCTGAAAAGGTGCAGAATAATCTTTTAGTGAGTGTACATTCATGTATACAGTATACTGTATGTATATACAGGGTACAGTATTTATATTGATTGTGGGCTGATATGGGAAGAGATGTGTTAGCAACTGTAACAGTGAGTGATGAATAGTGCATGGAGAGAGAAATATGAGCTTTGAGCAATTTATCAAAGGAGGCAATGATGGTATATATACTGCATAGAATTTATTGATTAATGGAACTCAGGCTCAAAACCAAGCACTGGAGCCAATAGACCATTCAGTGTTGTGTACTGCATAGAGTCCTGTCATCTGTTAATTGTAATAGTAATTGTTTACTTCATTGAGAAATTTTCAAGTACAGTTATCCCTCAATGTATGAAGAGGTTAGGTTCCCTGTGGGGGGAAATTTGTTAAATGAATTTTTGTATAACAAATAGAACATGTAGGAAAAATAGGGTTCTGTTCCCCAATATCATACCCCAAAAACATGAAATCAGTTCACAAACAAGAAAAAACTTACCTAACTAAGGTAATGATAACTAGTACACAACTACTGTAATATACTACCTGTACCTAACACATGAAAAGCATTAATAAAATACTGTATAACTTCGGTACATTACCTTATGGGAGGGCAGTTTGGGCTCACCACCACAAGGAGGTGAGAAATTTAATTATTATGAAATACTGTACTTACTAGGGAAATTAAATTATCATTATGAAAATGAGTGTCATAAAAAGAAAATTCCTCATTATTACAGACCTTCATGATACAGGTTGTACCTCTCTAGTCCGGCATTCTGTGGTCCGGAACGATTTTAGTTTGTCCAATAGGTAGATAGGCAGCTCTTTTTTTTTTTTTTATCTGAATTATTATTATTATTATTACAGGAGTATTAAATTTTTGCCCCTCAGGCCCCAATGTGGGTTAGTGACCTATGCCCGGGTGGGCTAATCCCCGTAAAAAAAACAACAACAAAGCCGCGGGAAATTAAGGTTTGTTTGCATCCGGCAGTTCGGCTGCTCTCTCTCTCTCTCTCTCTGCTTGTCTATACAGAGTACAACATTTAACCCTTCAATATATATGAGCAGTAAATAAGTGTTGCTTTCATATTCTTATGTAGAGTAATGACGATATGTTTTCACGTGTGCGCACTTACATACGCGCAGTCTCACTTTTTTTTTTACCATTAATGGTTAGCTACTTATATTGTTCCATTTATTAACATTAAATAACATTACAGGTACTTCAAACAACCATATTAATTTTTTTACATTAATTTTACTACAGCTACAATCAGGGTCTTATTTTCTTCAGTTTTATATGTAGAACCAATCAGTCACTGGTTTTGTAAGCTTTAACAAAAACAATGCCGGCAGCCGTCTCGTCTCCTCGTATGTTTTAATATTCCACGTACAGTATTATTAATAAATTGTATTGTTAATTTTGCACACACAAACTTTAATTCAATAAAAACAAATTCAGAAACATTAATTAAAATATATATGAACAGTAAATAAGTGTTGCTTTCATATTCTTATGTAAAGTAATGACGATTTGTTTTCACATGTGCGCACTTACAGAACATATGGGATTAATTCCAATGGAGACTGGCCCGACCCCCAAACTCCACTTTTTCCGACACAATACCTATGTTGTAGTAAAAATAACATCTAAATTTTATGATGGTATGCTTACACAATTAATATTTAAGAGAAATACAGTCGCCAGGTTAATGTCCATTCAAATAATGGACTCAAATCCCCCCCCCTCCCCCCACTCTTCCCAGCTCACTAGATCCTACCTCTCTGATTAATGTTTGGGTGAAAACTCTAGATTTTAACGTTTAGTAATAAATAATACCTCAGACTAAAGTTAGGATAATATAATTGACATTTCTGGATTCCTTGCAGGTCAGGGAATATTTTGAATGTAAACTTCATATATTTTGCACAAAAGATAAAATATTTGCTTTGTGTAAACCAAATTATTACTTTAGATCTAAAATTTGTATGTCTAATGCAAAATCCATGATGTTTATATTCAAAATGATCATCATATTGTAAGAATTCCAGCAATGTAAATTATATTCTGGCCGGGTAATTTGTATGAATTTTATGAGCTAAAACATATATCTTCAGTAAATAAACAAAGAAATATTCTTCAAGGACACTATCTGTCAATCAAAATACTCCTCCCTAGCTGGGTCGGTCCTTCCCTCCCTCCCTCCCTACCAGAGAAGCGATTGGGAGAAAATAGTATATTTACATTTTTAGTAATAAATAATAACTCAGACTAAAGTTAGGATAATATAATTGACATTTCTGGATTCCTTGCAGGTCAGGGAATATTTTGAATGTAAACTTCATATATTCTGCACAAAGGATAAAATATTTGCTTTGTGTAAACCAAATTATTACATTAGATCTAAAATTTGTATGTCTAATGCAAAATCCATGATGTTTATATTCAAAATGGTCATCATATTGTAAGAATTCCAGCTATGTAAATTATATTCTGGCCGGGTAATTTGTATGAATTTTATGAGCTAAATAAAAAAAAAATAAATAAAAAATTATACTTCACCGCGTATATGAGTAGATGCACCGCGGAAAGTGAAAGTCTGGTTCTGGCAAGGTATCGTGCAAATGAGAAATCGCGGAAAGTGAAACCGTGTAAAGCGGGGTAATACTGTACTTAAAACAACCATATTAATTTTACTACAGCTACAACCAGGGTCTTAGTTTCTTCAGTTTTATATGTAGAACCAGTCAGTCACTGGTTTTGTAATCAACGAAAACAATGCTGTCTCATTTCCTCGTGTTTTAATATTCTACGTATTATTAATGAATTGTATTGCTCATTTTGCACACACAACATTAATTCAATCAAAAAGACTTTCAGAAATAAACATTAATGAATCTTTTGTACATAAGAGAAATGACGCTGTTTACACGATTGTGCATGTCGTCTGAACGTTGGTGGGCCTTTCAAACCCATTGAAATTTGAGTTTCCGCCGTCAAAATTTATAAATGTGTTTTTTTTTTTTGTGTTCAAATAGAAAAAGTCGAATTAAAAACTCACGAAATTTGAGAAGCTACTGTACGACATTTAACCCTTCAATATGTCTTCAAAGAGACCATGAAGCAGAGAAAGTGGTGCTAGTGCTTCCAAGCGTAAGCACAAGTCACTATCTATCCAGGAAAAGGGTGAATTTCCATGGTCCGGCACCGGTCAGGTCCCGAGGTTGCCGGACTAGAGAGGTACAACCTGTATATGGTAATGCTTTTAAATATTTCTAGGGCAAATTACAATATAAATTATATTCCCCTCTACTTTAGGACCTCCAATATTTGACATAAAAAATTTATAAGTCGTGAGTTTTAATGACAGAACTAAGTAATTATTGAAGAAATGTCACCTCATACATAAGTTTTATTTTTATTTACCATCAGATGCTGTTCCATTGCATGAAGCTGCTGAGCACGGCAATACTGAATGTGTGAAGACACTCTTGTCTCTCGGTGCCCCGTCATGCCCTCGTAATTCCAGAATGGAAATCCCACTTGATCTTGCCAAGAAGATGGGTCACAAAGAATGCTACCAAATTTTAGGTTTGTTGATTACCTGATGCATTCATCTAGTTGCTGTTATGTAAACTAATTGCACTTCATTAATATTGAGGTGATTAATTATACCGAGTCTTACAGATATCAAAAACTCATATTGGTAAGTGATAAAATGTTTGATAGGAAGATTAAAGGGGACACTTAGATATTTCTGTACTATTTAAATATAGAGTTCATACCTATGATTTTTTTATGAATACTATGAGAAGATATTGTAAAATGGATTAGGTAAGTACTGTACCCACAGTTTTTGTTGGCAGGTTTATTGTCATGTTGTGCATTGCTAATAGAATTCTCCCTCTGGTAATTAAAGCACCTAAAAACACAAGGGTCATAATTGTTCTGGTATCAAGACACGAGTGGTTTGCTTCATTTCCTTTCTTATTCACCCCCAGTGCATCATCGCCCTCCTGCTTGTTGTTACACCCTCAAGGACTATTATCATGGAAGAATTGATCGTCACTTGGCACAGGAACGTCTTCTCGGTTCTCCAGATGCTAATTCAGGCCATTTTCTTCTACGTCAAAGTACGAGAAAACAAGACAAATATGTGTTGACCTTGTTGTTTCAAAATCAGTTATATAATTATGAAGTTTCTGGTAAGGTAAGTCCAGTAGTATTACTTCTCATTGGCAATTACTTGTCGTACTTTGTACATATTCAAAATCTGTTAAGTTATAAAAACAAGCATTTATATAAGCTGATTTCACGTGTTAGTAACATTAGTATTATAATAAGTCCTATAATGCAGAGGTTCCCAAACTGGGGTCCGTGAGAGCGCCCCAGAACAAGATGAAAGAAAGCAATATATATATATATATATATACTGTATATGTACAGCTCCTCCCCGACTTAAAACGGGGTTCGGGACCCAAATCCAGGTCGTAAGTCGAAAATGCTTAAATAATACATAGAAAATCTAAAATGGGTGTCTCTTTTTCTTCTCAGCACCACAAAACTCTGACTTTTAAGCTTGCCAGCCATTTTAAAGTGAATTACAAACGAAAATTTTTTTAGTACACAGCGCAATCATTGACGTTTGGACTCGAAAATAAGTAATTTGACAAAATTTTGGTACGACTGAGGCAGGTCGTAAGTCGAGGAGTATATATATATATATATATATATATATATATATATATATATATATATATATATATATATATATATATATATATATATATATATATATATATATATATATATATATATACAGTCAACCCTCACTTTACGCGGTTAATTCAACCCACAGGGTACCGCGGAAAGTGAGAAACGCGTAAAGTGAACAACATAACATATGGGATTAATTGAAATAGAGACTGGGCCGACCCCCAAACTCCACTTTTTGACGACACACAACTATGTTGTAGAAAAAATTTTATCTTAACTTTATGATGGTATGCATACACAATTAATAATTAAGAGAAATATCAACAATATTAGGTTTTTTAACACTTACATTAGTAGAAAAGATGGCTGGGCACACGGGGATGGGGGGTTGGTTCCGAGGCAGAGGTCAGATTATTGGCCCTCACCTGTATCACTTGTATCAATTGTATCACTATCCACCACAGAGGCTTGCAGGGCCTCTTTGTCAAACCCCTCAAAGTCCATATAAGTCCATATCCTCACTATAATTATCACTATCACTGACTTGGGCCGGCTGTGATGGGTGGCAGGTGAAGAACTCGGTAATGTTTTGATGACTGGGCGACCTTGTGTGCACCCTGCTCGCACCGCTTACACAACATGGGAGGTTTGGATCCAAAAATGGCGCGGCTCGCCAGCCGCTCTCCGCGTAAAGGGGTACACACACCGCGGAATGTGAGCATCCTGGTTTCGGCAGGGTACCGCGTAAATGTGGAAACGCGGAATGTGGGACCGCGTAAAGCGAGGATTGACTGTGTATATATATATATATATTGGTTACCCGTTGGTGCCAACAGGCTACAAGCTAGGCCCGCCCTTTACAGCCAGGATTTGTACTTAAATTTTATTGGCTATAAGCTTGGAGGTATTGCCATTCTTTCTCCTATTCTTGTCTCACATGATGCCATCATCTCATTCACAAGTTTTTATTTCCTCTCTCCCACACCAGCCACACACCCTCCAGTATCAGTATATCCTTCAAGAGAGAGTTTGTTTGTTTTCATTCACCACTATTATATGACTAGTATTCCCACCTACAGGTATGTTACAGATGATTATGATTAGGGCAAAACATTGTATTTATGCATTCCTCTTCATTACTATTACCACCTTAGAAAAATTTGACTTAATTAACAAAAAGTTGCTTTAGTTATGACACATGTTTTTATTTACAAGGAATCATAAAAAATAATAACCAATAATCTGGCTAGATAAACAAACTATAAGTGAATGAACCATGGCAATATTTGTTTCACCCAGCTCTTATGAAACAAAAATAGTGTTGAGAATAGCGATGTATATTTGTAGATCATTTGTACATTTTACTGAATTTAATAGCATACATATAAAGAAAACAAGATAATCTGGGATACTATCCTTTTCGTTTAGCAACTATCAATTTTATGTGCATTTTCTTTGTACAGTAGGGTCGGGATATATCACAAGATAGGGTCCAAGGATATGCTCCATATACTAAATCGCAATATATAATTACATGTAATCAATGGGGAAAATAGGGTTAGGTTCTGGAGGCCAATAAAAGTGACTAAACTCGACTTAAGGAGTTTATTTTCATACTAACTAAAGCACCAATGAACACTAGACTCAGGAACACCAGACTTGCCAGCTGACGCGCCATCCCGGGAACACCAAACTCGGCAGCAGACGCCACACTGCCACCCTCACTTAACAATCCCACACCTTCATATGTCACTAGCAACCCATTTACACTCACCTTAGAAGTCTGAATCTGCAGCAGAGTCGGTTGCTGACTAGTCACTCGTGCCGCTCGACTCACAGCCAGCCTCCTCCTCGTCACACGACAACTGCGTGCCTGAACATGGTGGTAAATTTGAAATATTTCCTGCCTCATTTCCCCCGCAAAATAAATAGATTTATCGCTATATACAGGTATTGGAAAATGTCAATAATTTTGGTAGTAGCCATATAAAAAATTGCTATATATCCCGAACCTACTGTATACAGCTTTTCTTTATGTCGGCACCAACGGATGCAAAATGCATTGATGATGAATTGTACAAGGTTCTGCAGGTTCTTGTGAAAATAATGAACTATGTTAAAGCACACCCCCTGAAACACAGACTGTTTGAAACACTTTGCCATGAAATGGGTGCTGACTTTGAGGGCTTGCTGCTCCACTCTGAAGTGCGCTGGTTATCGTGTGGGGCAGTTTTGAATTGTGTGTTTACCATACGGAGAGAGCTGGTTGACTTTCTTTCATCAGAGAAGTCAGACCTTGGTAGCTGTTTTGGGGATGAGTCATGGATGATGAAGTTAGTATATCTAGCAGACATCTTCCAGCATCTAAATGTATTAAACCAGATCACGCAAGGCCGTGAAGTATGCATTCTGAATGTGCAGGACAAAGTACATGCATTCAGGCAGAAAGTTTCCCTGTGGGGTAAACTCCAGGAAGGAGTCTCTGAAATGTTCCCACTTTATCACCAAGAATGTTTGACGTCCAGTGCAGACAGCATCATGTCCCTTAATATTTCCCATGTAGCGTATTTGCAAGCTACTTCACGGACTATTTATCTGACCTTGACAACTCCCACTTGAACTGGATTAGAAACTCTTTTGCAGCCGGGTTAAGTGCACGTCTTGATCTGAAGTCGCAAGAGGAACTCATTGAATTGTCAAATGAAGGGGGTATGAAAATCAAGTGCTCTGCCCTACCACTGTCAGAGTTCTGGATCTATGCAAGAAATTAATATTTTGCCCTGGCTGAGAAGGCTCTGAAATGCCTTTAGTCACAATCTACTTGTTTGAGGCAGGATTTTCTGCATTCAAAGTACAAAAAACCAAGCACAGAGCACGCCTGCAGGTGGACAATGACCTGTGGCTGGCACTCACTACTAATATGAAGCCTCGCATTGACAAATTGTGCAAGAGTCACCAAGCCCATTAGACAGGATACACCTGATAGCCTGATTTGTTTATTTTTTTTATTTTGGTTTCTAATGGTGCCACAATATTGTGTTTGTGTATTGTGGTTGTGTTTGTACAGAATTTACATTGCTTTGAATTGAAAAAAAATAAAAACACTGAAAAGGAAAGTGGTCTTATTTATTACTAATTACTTCATTTAAGAATAAGTAAATATTACATGTACAGGGTAGATAATTATTATTTTTTAGTTGGGGGTCCTCGGTTGAGGCTCATCATATTTGGGGGTCCTTGATATGAAAAAGTTTGGGAACCTCTGCTATACAGTAATTACAGTTCAGTACATAGCTGTTCTGAACAAACTCTTACAAGGAAATGGGTTATCTCTTAGTTTTGTATACATATTAGTGAGGATAGGATTAAGGTAGACTTATTAATTGTTGACATTATATTGTGCACTCCTCCCTTAGTTACCAGTAGTATGCCAACCTTTTATTTATTTTATTTATTTATTTTTTATTTATTTACTCATTTATTTTTTGCAAAATACTGCAACAGTAGTATGATGTAACAGTAGGTGAACCCAGTTGAAATTTAGCAATAGGCTCCTACTCCAATGTTTTTAAGACTTCTTAAATGTGTAATACAGTATTACCCTTTGATAGCCAGCTTACTGCCAGCCTTGTTTATATAATATAGAACACATGAATTGGTAAAGTTGGATAACTATCAATTATGATATGGGGAAGATTGTAAGAAATGACATCAGAGTCCAGAACCTGATGAGAAAGGCTGCAAGAGATCACACAGCAGGAAGAGCTATTGTCAGGTACTCATGCAAGTGTGGAAAATGTCTGTAATTTGTTGAGCAGAACTTACTATATACAACTGTATTATTAGTAGTGACACATTTTCAGGGGGAGATGTTTTACATTGATGATGGCCCATACTTTGTCTCTTTGGAGACTATGGTAGACCATTACATTCGCTTTATGGATGGCATGCCAAGTCATCTAATAAAGCCTGTCCCTCCACCTCATCCATTGTCAGAGGAAATAACAAAAAACATAACAGCAAGACATCCACATGTCAATCCCAATCTTGTAAGTATTAGATACCCAAAATAAATACAGTAGGGTTGCAGAGTATGCGTATCCATAGTATGTGACCCCTTTATACGCGTCTGACCTCCTGAACCACCGTTACTCTTGGGTCTTGCTCTCATGTGAGTCGACTCACCCAGCATCTCTTGATAGCTCAGTGTGTTTATCACTTGTTTGAGAAAAAAATAATAAAATCATAATACAGTAACCTAATGTGGCTTAAAAAATAAGAAAATACTGTATAACATAAAACTGCAAAATAAGACATCATGGCAGCATATACAGTATACTGTGCAGAGTGGTAGCAGCCACACACATCTCTGTGTCAGCTGGGTGACTGCCCGGCTGAACTGTGTTGCATCCCCAGAGGATGCTTTGAGTACAGTATAGTCTCGATTTACGCGGTCAATTGAACCCGTGGGGGTCCGCGTAAAACGAGAAATGCGTAAACGAAATAACAGAACATGTGGGATTAATTGAAATAGAGACTGGGCCGACCCCAGACTACCCTTTTTCCGACACAAAACGTACCTTGTAGTAAAAATAACATCTTAATTTTATGATGGTATGCACACACACATAATATATAAATAAAAAACTACACTACAGTACAAATATAAAGGTGTTTAACACTTACGTTAGTAGAAGAGATGGGTCGGCACACGGGGATGGCGGCTGGTTCCGAGGCAGGGGGCAGATTAGTGGCCCTCCGGTGAATCACTATCACTATTCAGAGGTTTGCAGGGCCTCCCTGACAAACCCCTCAAAGTCCATATCCTCACTGTCACTGACTTGGGCTGGCTGTGGTTGTGGTGGGTTGCGGGCTAAGAAGTCCGTAATACTACGTTGACGACTAGCATTAATGTTGTCGTCATACATCTGGACATACGGTTCCATAAATTTCGACAGAAGGTTATAAGACACTTTATACCGATGCTTGACTGTGTCTTTGTCAAGGATGAGCTTGATTTTCTCCGCCAACTCGATGACTTCCTTCACATAACCATGGCTTGGTCCAGGTAGTTCAAGGTTTCTTGGGGGTGGTGGGGGTCCAGCGGAAGCCATTGTGAGGGGAATAGCGGGCACATGAGAGAAAAGTATACGCGGAGACTGAGAACAATGAGACTGGCCCGGCTAGGTCAGCGACTTCTTCCCTCTGGTGGCAGGGCACGTCATGTTACGTTAGACCAATCACAGCTAGCGGCGGAGGGAGGTAAGGATGCGTCGCCCAATCACAGTCCGATACGTCATATGACGTCAGCGATAACATAAGAGCGACCTACTGCGCACCCTCCCCACGCCGCTTTCTGCGTAAATGATGGAATGAACCGCGTAACTTAAAATTGTCATTCTGGCAAGGTGCCGCGTAAATGACCAAACGCGTAAACAAAATCCGCGTAAATCCAGACCACACTGTATTCGTATACTGTAACTACATTAGAAGTGTTCATATGGTACTGTAGATTTAATCTTTGTTTTCATTTGTACATTTAAGGTGTTTATATGGTACCTTAGGTTAAATCATTGCCAAGGCATCCTCCTTCTTGCACTGATTCCATGAATATCTCCCAGGCATTTGTACTTGTAAATTTTTTCTTTACTGGTGAATTTTACCACAATTATGGGCCCATAGAGGAATATTAGTGGCAGTGTTCGTGAGAAAAGAAAAAGGCGCATACTGTGAGAACTTTTGAAGGAGTGGCGTATTGAACTCTGAAGTTGCACGTTGGTTACCTTAGTATAAAAAAGGGGTTTTATGTTTATATACAGGGGGAACCCAAACATTTGCAATTTTGCATTTATGTGGGGATCCCAGGAATGTAATCCTTGCATACTCTGAAACCTTACTGTACAGGATTTTATTCAGTTATATTGTTTGATATGTATGGATTTGATTATAAATTTGGCAATTATAATAGGACCTAAAATAAGGACACTTGATATCTCCAGTTTATTTAAATTTCCTTTAAATATTCATTGCATAATGTGAACACTTTTTCAATCACAAACATGACAATTTCTCAGAAGTGTCTTTTATGGTTACACTTAAGGGAGTCTAAATCAATGAGGATCAAGTGTGTGAAGTTGGTGTTTTAGAAAGTGGTACACATCTGCAATGATTAAAATGCTAAGCAAGACTGACTACATTATCATGTTAAAGGCTATAAATAGTTAATATTTGCCAGATCATAATACTGCAAGTAAAAATTAGAAAAAAAATTTATCCCTTGAGTGTCCTGATTAATTAGGTTATACTTTATATCTATTGCTGTGAATATTAGTAATGTGCCGATTGTCATTTGCATATAGCATGAAATGTTGGCCTGTGAAGACAGTGATGGAAATCCTAGCTCTTCTGAACAACAACCCTTGCTCTCTGCATCAAGTCAAGAAGATCTAAAGGCACATCCCTCATATACTTTGGAGGTGCCAAGTGCACAAAATCCTAACATTGTTATTACAAGTAAGTTTCTAAGCTTCCAATTTCCATGTTTATCTCCCAGATATACAGGTGGATGAATTTGGTAGCATTTTCTTCACATGGAGATGAGATACTTGGGAGTGTGCAGAAGTGGTCACATAGAGCTTGCTTGTACTGTATTCAGATGTGGCTCTAAACAGTACAGGAACCATACTTTCCTTTTTAATTTCAGTGGGCTTTCTATCTATGAACAATGGTTAATAGAGACAAAGGATTAATTATGAATCCCTGTTTCCTAACTGAACCAGCATAGGGCAGTGAGCCTGCAGATTGAAATCAGGTTCCCAGGACTCAAACTTGGGACCGGGATTCCAGTAAAAGAGAAATGTGTTATGAAGGCACATTGAACAGGGAGAGAGTTTGAGTTTTTGGCTCCTCAATCCTCCATTAGAAAAGCAAAAGAGACTGACCAGTCCTAAGGTTAGTTACACAAGCAAATGGTTGAATGTGCTTTTATATGTTTGCTCCTGTTGGACACGAAGTGGTCCTCCTGTATTGACATTGTACTCTATTTTGTTAGCTGGTGACCACACAATCCTAGTTGTTGGTATCATAGTAGAACCTCCCAAGTACCAGTCTATTGATTTCACATACGAATTGACATGTGTTATGTTTGCCCAAATATTCTGTATTTCATAAAACTTTAAAAATTTTCCTGCAAAATTAAATATATATTTTATACCTTTTATTATTAAATACTGTATATTTTTTAATGCGAATTAGAGTTACCACATTCTACAATGGGCTTGATCCCAAGTACAGTACAGTACTGTATTGTGGAATACTGATTCTTCTTTACCCTAAATCGTAATTTTTCATAAATATCAGTATGTGCTGTGAACTCATATTATTAAACATTAACAGAATCAGAATCTCGACTCTCTCAAGATTTAATTGATCTGCAAGAACCAGAGCGAATGTATGAAAGGTCATCGAGTAGATGCAGCAATTGCCAACCGAAAGTACCCTCCAGGGAGTCCCTTAAATTAGATTTAAAGGTAAGAGCTGTTTTAAAAGTATAGAATTACTTACAGAAGTCACGATTTTCGAAAAGTGCCAAATTTTTGGAATTCAGAGTTAAAGAAAAGGAATTATTATTCTTAATGTGGTGTGCAGGTACAAGATGAAATCATCAAGAAGAATGTTGCAAGCTGTAGATTATTTAAACAGTTTGCTTTGGTTACCTTCAGAGAAGTCAGTCAAGGTTCACTTTCACATCCTGATTGTTTGGAGTTCACAAGCAAAATTCCAAAGAGAATATCAGGAGTTCTGTTCTCAAAAAGGCTTAAGTGGTTTAACCTGGATTGGCACCTCAGAATGACTTCTCAATGAGTTCAGTGGTTTCTTTTAAGAATCTAATATACAGTATTGTATTTACATTATTTATAGATTAAATAATGATTTAGATGGGTCAGGCCTTTCAAAATAGCATTTCCACATCTTGGCTAAAATTATTCTATTTAGCATGAACTTAGCTCTATCAAGTAGTCCTTTACAGTCATAGAATCCATGTAGAAATAAGCAGTTTTCCCTGGCTGATCTGCACAGTTGGGTAATTCTGAGCTCAATCAAAGAGTAGCACTCGAGACTACAAAGTTGACTACCCTGTACAAAATTTGATCATTTACATGAAATTTAGCTTTAAGCCCCAACTAGGATTCAAATGGCCGAGACTCGTGAAAGACACCGGAGATCAAACTGTGACCAGAGGAGACATATGGTGCCTCCATAATTTATCATAGATCTCATTTATTTTGTTTCTCTTTTGGCCTTTTTACCGAATTCTTACATACAGCTGTATGTACTATATGTACAACAATGTTATTAGTAAGTTCAAATGAGACACTTTGGGGTGCATTCACCAAATGGGTACAGTACACCTCCTTACCTAAGGGTTGGCTGGTTTGTACCAGAGGCATCCCGTCCACCCGGGTTTAAATAGATACCTAACTTTACAGTTGGGGAAGTGGAAGCTGTTGAGTGCAGTGCCTCCATGTGTACAAAAGGCATAGTATACAGAGTAGTGTAACCACCCTTCTCCAGAAGGGCTATCAGCCCTCTGGAACCCACTTAGGTAATGCCGTGAATATTGTTAAAGAAAGGTGAAATATTAAGTCTGTTACTAATTGTATTGGTAGAATTTTAAGGAAAGTACAATAATATGAACCTGTAAGTACAAGTAATATTCTCAAGAGCATTTCAATTTGTTTTAATGTAATCAAGTGTACTGTGCTGTTGTGACAGCACCATTAATGATAATTTTTTTTAATTTCTCAGAGTTTGACCATCACTAACAACCCAGATACCGCCTATGTCTGTGGTAGCAGCCCAACTATGGATGGAAACAGAACAGATGAAATCTTTGGTGAAATTGACATCAAACGTCTTACTGTTGGACAGTGTCTAGGAAATGGTGAATTTGGATCTGTATTAAAAGGCATTTGGTTAAGTCCTTCTGGGGATAAGGTGAGATTAACAAGAAAGCTATTAATCTATTTAGGCTTCTCTGTGTTTTGCAAATGGAATACCTTATCAAACCACTTAGACACCAAAATTGTTGCTCATTCCTGTCATAATACTCCTTTCATCCCTGCTTACTCAGTTCTTCCATTTTGCTTTGGTTCCTCTCATGTACTTGTTACAGCTACTGTTCTTATAATTTAGTGGGTTGTGTTGAATACTATACATTATCTGAAGATTGAAGTGTCAATGTCCCCTCATTGTCTCCATGGTTGGGGTTACAGGTGGTTCTGATGTGCTACTGGTAGAGATTAAACCTGCAGACTGCAGAACTCTCTTGATTAACAGAGATTTAGGCATTCAAGAAAAGGTTAGCCCTTTCCTTAAGGCAGAGGTACAGTCTCGTTCAAGATTCTTCGAACACTGCTGGAGACAGCAGGCAACTCAAGGCCGTTCATTCACTATAGTACGTAGTATAATATAATACAAAACAACAAAGCCCAACCATTAAATTAAGCAACGGGGAACTAAGTAACCAATGACTTTTACATTTATTCATAATTTTTACTACGTATTATAATAAACAAACCTTGAGTTGCCAGCTGTCTCCAGCAGTGTTTGAAGAATCTTGAATGAGACTGTACATTGCTAAATGTAGTGCACTAAATTTTATCAGGAGAAAGCTTAAACAGTTATGGAGGGAAGGTTGGTGGCAACTCCAGTGTACTTTTCCTTATCGCCTCCCTTCTTTCTCTGGCCTAATTAGCACAGTTCAGTTACCATGGGTAATTTTTATGGTCTATTTTGCTTGCATTTTTCATGCAGGACTTTTATGAAAATAATGATATATTTGTTCAGTTAATCCTTCAAGTTATGCAGTCAATAATACCCTCCCACCCTTAATAATTGGGAAATAAAAGTTTTTTTTCCTCTCTCTCTCTTAAGGTTGCATGTGTGTCTTTAATCCTTGGGAGTTTCTGTAGCATCACCTCCACCTCCTCCCTGTCTGCTGGCTTTTGATTATGAGAACTATCTGGCTTAAGATCATATAATGTAATTGAAGGAGTGATTTTGAAATCCTGTTATTGTGATTTAATCTGCTGGAACAATTTCAAAGTGGGGGATTCACTTAGAAATAAAAAAATATCAGGCAGCACTAATTGTGCTTATTGAATAGGCATAACTCTTAAAAGACATCTTGACTCATTAGTCCGAATTGTTGCATCTCTCTCATTTTAGGGTGATGAGGGAAGGTTAAGTGATATACATACAAAGAATGCATACTGTATAGTGACTTTGGCTACCATTATGGGGGTAAGGAAACCCTAATTCCATAAGCAGCCACATGGCTCTGGGCTTCTCTAGAAAATAGGATTGTTGGACCAATCGTTTTATATTTCTCATAACTCCATACCTTATCTGAAATCGTATCTTACTGCATATTGTCTCTCGTGATTTCTTATTATTTCTCTTTGTTCTAGAAGCACAGTTGGTCTTGGTCTCTCGTAAAAGTTTATCATGGAAGAAGTGATTGACCCTCTAGTGTGGCCATTGTCACTTAGTGATCTGCCTCAATATCTCATCCTCCGCACTGTCCTTTCAGTGATTGCTCTACTGTATTCCCAAACTCTGTCTTTTTTGTTTCTTTTGTGCCATTGTTTTATTAATTTTCAACACACTCATTCTTGTTTGCAATAAATGGCAGTTGCTTTACACTTAAAATGTCCAACGCAGCTGAAAAGTTTAAATGTAGTGACCCCTATTGCTTCATGTAATTTTCAGAGACTAATTTAGATTGAATAACCAAGTAAATCAAATACCTGTATCTAAGAATACTCATAGTCAGTTATGAATTTTTTTTTATAAATTTCATTGCAGATGACATTTTTGGTGGCTATGAAGAAAATGTCAGTGAACATTAAACTTACACATAAACCAACAAAACTCATATACAGTACTGTATATTTTTTTAATATTCAGATTGATGTTGCTGTAAAGACACTTCATAATGATGATAAAGTCAATAAAAAAAACTTCCTGAAAGAAGCAGAAGTGATGATGAACCTCAACCATCTGTATATTGTAAAATTGGTTGGTGTCTGCCATGGACCTCCAGTAGCTATGGTACAGTTTTCATGTGTTTGTTTTTCTTTCTTAAACTACTGATGATTTTTTTTTTCCTTAAACTACTTGATGATTTTTTATTTGTATTTGATTATGGCCAGTATACAGTACAGGTAGAGTAACACAGATTTGTGCAAAATTACAAATACTGTAGATCTGTAGCTAAAAAATACAGGGACTGTAAATTTACATATATACACTCTTGGAACCCATAGGATATTAATTGTCAACTTGGTACACTTAACAAATGGTTTAGGTACCTTGAAAACCATTTGTTGAGTGAATTCTTGTATTTCAAATAACATAACATATGGGAAAAATAGGGTTCACTTCTCCAATGACAAGAAAACCTCTGTATCATGCCCCCCCAAGCTACTGTAATTTACTGCCTAACACATTAAAAACTAATAAAATATGGTATAATATAACTTTGGTACATTACCTTAAAGGAGGTGAGTCAGGGCTCACCACAAGGGGTGAGGATGGGTGGGCTGAGTAAGGGCCTTTACTCAGTGAGATGAGGAGGGCTGTCCACCACTGCTATCTGCTAAGGACACCACAGTCATAACATAGGTGGAAGGAGTAGAAGAAAATCAGCTGGTGGAGAGAGTGAGATTGGAAGTTGAAGATGCAGTTGTCCATGGTTTGAAGACAGACTAAGACCTTTCTTGACCTTTGGAGGACCCTCACCATATTCATGGTGCTTTATAACCTCCAGATTTACCTTGAGTCACAGCCTTACTCATTTCCTGTAACTGAAGAATTAGCAGAACATTTGGATGCCTTGGCAAACAGAGTGATGAAAGGATAGCACAAATACAGATGGAAAAAAAAATCACTTCCCACATACAAATGATGGAACAGACACAGGCTGAGGGGAGATGCGGGAGGGTCTCATGATCAGTGAGAGAAAATGACTATATATCTCTCCAAGATGGCCACCCCCAGTTGACTCCCAGGGGTTATGCAATTAGAATTTTTGCTGTAACCAAAATTCATATAAGTGAAGGTAGCTTTCGTTAAATAAGAGGTGTTAAAATTGGAAGTTCGTATAAGCAGAGTTTTGTATCTTGAACGTTCATAAAGCTAGGGCTCACCATTATAGGTGACCTGGACTAATATACTGTATATGTTTTATATTTTCCTGCAAATAAAAGCATCAGAGAAAGAGAGTGTCAGGGTAGAAGATTGATGTAGCATTAAATTTGGAGGTAGATGGTAGGAGAGACATGGGAAGTCTTAGAAGATGGTGGAAGAATGAGGTAAAGTATGTGCTTGGAGAGGGGGATAGACATTCAGGAGACAGCATTACACTCAAATGACAAAGAGTGTGGGTTGGAGTTTTTGGGAATGAACTTGCCACTGATGGCTGATGCTAGGTAGTGTGAAGGCTCAGGGGATACTCAATTATGGAAAGGGAATACCATAGCAGAACACACATATTACAGTAGTATGAATGAATTTATGTCAGCATAGGACAGGATTGTGTTTGGTATTTATTTTGGCCACCATGCATTATAGTTGGGATTTTTATTTTTTTCATAATATATAAATGGTATGCATTATTTTTTAGGTTCAAGAATTGATGGCTATGGGTTCCTTACTTGATTTCCTTCTGGAACATGAAAAAGATATATCTGTTGATTTTCACCTCAAACTTTGGGCTGCACAGATTGCTGAAGGTAAGCTTTTTTTAAATGCCTGTATTCAGTACATTGGATCCCCAGTAAAGAACAAGGTTTAGTTTTCTTAGTCTTGTTTTTTATCAGTTAATTTCACCAAGCCTTTTTGTGGGAAATATAGGGGGTGTGTTTCTGGACTTCATAACCTCTTATATACCCCAATACAAGGAAATGAAGGCTTTAAACCTTAAACTGTACTGTATATGATTATCCCACACTTTTACTTCTTATACAAATAATCTGTGTCCCTCCAAAGGTCCCCAGCAGTAATTTTCACTTTGCTTTCACTGTAATTCTTAGGACTGTCCATAAGCTGAACTTTCTATGGGGTAAAATACCAACTTTTTTCAAGCTTGGCGCTGTGTTAGGCAATTTTGGGAGTTTGGCAATCTTGATACTGCACTCTCCACTCATTTCTCTACGCACTTTTACTTTTGTTTTTGCTGCATTTCAATTCATCACTCATTGTTGCTGACTTGACCCTACTCACAGATTTCTGAAACCTCACCTCCTCTATTCTATAGTACTCCCATTCTACATAACATTAATTTCTTGCCGTCTCCCTTTTCTACTTACTTTCATTTGTTTTTATTTACATTCCCTATAAAATTTATATAATGACACTTCCAAATTCATTCACTTACAGTTTGAACTTTCATTTTTAATCACCCATCAGACTAGTGTCATCTGTAAACGACATCTGCCTCACCTTTCTTTTGCACCCCATACCCCTATTTGTCAAACATATTCTCTTTTCCATCCCCTCTTACGAGCTTCCCCATCCATAAATTTAATGAACCTCTATTGCATCATTACACATACTTGAGATAATGTTACAAGTATATTCATTACCTTTTAGATGCTTTTGTCATCATGGAGAAGATTGGCTGAAGAATATTTTAAGTTTTAAATTCTCAAAACTGCAAAAAATTTACTTTTATTATAATTTTATTTATTTTTTTTTTTTTTTTAGATTTTCAGTATGCAAAGTTGTGTTTATGAAAGAAGTTGTAGATTTTTTCTAAACTTTCTAATTTTTATAGTTACATATATATTTTTTTTTGAGGTGGATTCATTGACAAAACCACTAGCTATTTCTTTTTTATTGATACAGGAATGATGTATCTTGAGCAAAAGCATTTTGTTCATCGTGACCTGGCAGCACGTAATATCCTGTTATCATCTGTGACTTTGGCTAAAATTAGTGACTTTGGTCTTTCTCGAGCTCTGGGAGTCGATAAAGATTATTACACTGCAAGTGATGGAGGAAAATGGCCTCTGAAATGGTAAGTGGAAGAAATAGTTTTTGAAACAATGGTTAGTGTGATGATTTACAGTGCATAGTTCTTCAGTACCGATCATTAAAGCACCTGCTAGAGATATGTATTTTTTGGGTACAGTACAGTATTCCCCTGGGTTACGGATGGGATGTGTCCTTGTAAAGTTGACTGTAACATGATCCCCATTTTCCCATTGACTTGCATTATACTGGATATTAGAAATGTGTTTCTAAAGAAACTTTTTGGGCAAAAAGAAGTAATCCCTGTAAAAGCACTTATGAACGAAAATAAACAATTTAAAACACTGTACATTGATTATTTTATGATATAATATGATAGTAAATACTGAACACCAAACACTTGAATTTAACTCACCACAAATGATGTTGAGTGCTGTGTGAGGTGAGGTGGTGCAGTGGGAGTTGTTAGGAGACATAACAAGCCACTCATCTTGAATAAGGGCAATACATTGGACGGTCTTGAATAAGGTATGTATGTAAGTGTTAAATCCAAGAGCTGGGGTCGAGAGATCAAGTGTACCTGCTGGAAGATATAAACGAAATGAGTTCAGACGTGTGGGTGGACTACATACCAACACTTGGTGGTAGCAAACACCAAGGAATCCACAACAAATAAATTATAATGTCACTTTTTTTTCCCAGAGTTTCCATAACATGGGGATACCCTTTATAAGGCTGTTTTCCTGCAGTGCCTTTATCTTGAACTGATTAAACCAGCCCTTACTAGCAACAAAATCTTCCCCACCACGCTTACCCTTCAAGTTGGCATTCAAGTTTCTCGCTTTTTCCTGAATTAAGGCTAGACTTAGAAGCAAATCCTGTTGATATTGATTTCCACCCATATCATTAACAATTTTTCCATTTCAATTAACAATCCACTTCTTTGCTCTGTTATCACAGTTGAGTGCATTGGTGTAGATCCTTTTACATATTCAAGAATTTTCTGTCTTTCAAAATTGTTCCGACCGTTGAACAATTCAAACCCAATGCCTTACTGATCAACTGAGGGTGTTTCGCCTTTTACAGAACGTTTAATAACATCAACTTTCTCTTACATTGTAATTGTTTCCCCTTTCTTGGATGCACTACTATCACTTGCATCAGGTTTGCATTTGGGAGCCATGATGAGGGCCAAAAAAAGAGAGTTACAGTAATATACAAAGAACAACAGTTTGCACTTGATCACACGTTAAGACGGTGAGGATAAAGTGTACCGACGCTCCCGTGTCCTCAAGATGCGTGACTGGGTGCAACGCATCATTCCCAACACGCTGCTCCGCCTCCCATTTACGCTGCGCAAACTAGTTCTTGTACATTACTGCTATGAACCAGTTGTACTTATGTCGAATTTTTTAAATACTGTAATTCACCCTCGACCTACTGGGTGGGACTAGGGAACGCTACCAACCAACCCACAAGGACACTAAAAGCAGTCCTATATATGGTACCTCGTGTTTCATACCAGCTGGATTCGGTAAAATGCTACTGACACCACATACGAGGCACGGGCAGTTCCCAATGAGGTTCACGGCGCCATCAGCTCGATGAACAGGCTTTGTGTGAAATATAACAGTGTCTAGGACTGCTTTTAGTGTCCTTGTGGGTTGGTCGGTAGCGTTCCCTAGTCCCACCCAGTAGGTCGAGGGTTCGATTCCTGGCTGGTGAGGCCGTTGATTATATGTTCAAAGTCCGCGTGTTATATGGACTAAAAATGAAGTGAGTGTATATATATATATATATATATATATATATATATATATATATATATATATATATATATATATATATATATATATATATATATATATATATATATATATATATATATATATATATATACTGTATTTTTCTCTTTGGCAGGTATGCTCCTGAATCCATTTACTATGGCACATTTACTCACAGTAGTGATGTATGGAGTTATGGTATAACATTGTGGGAGATGTACACATTTGGTAATCAACCGTATGGTGAACTCCCAGGACATAAAGTAAGTGCTACTGAGGATATTTTACTTTGAAAACTAAAATCTTAAAAACATGATAGGTACCATTAACTCATAATTATAGATGTGGGGTATGGTTGGGTAGGTGATAGTTGAATGGTTGTATTATAGTGGTAATTAATGTAAAAAAAGGGGGGCAATGAGTACCCAGGCATGAAAGTGCAGAGCCATGGTGTGCTGTGTATATTAATTCCATTAAATTAATACAGTATATATATATATATATATATATATATATATATATATATATATATATATATATATATATATATATATATATATATATATATATATATATATATATATATATATATATATATATATATATATATATATATATATATATATATATATATATTCTTTTTTTCTTTTTTTTCCAGGTTGTAGAAATGCTGGAGAGCAAAGAGAGACTTCCCAAACCAGAGAAATGTCCCAAAGGAGTGTTCGACCTAATGCTGCGATGTTGGAATTATAAAGCATCAAAGAGACCAGCTTTTGGAGAGCTAGCAGCCATATTTAGGACTAAGCCAGAGTATATAAATATCAAGCCATATTTTAAATGATGAACTCATATTTTAAGATAACCAATGCTTCATTTTCTGAGATGAGGCATTCCTACTCCATTGGTGCAATGAATTTTTAAGAGTTTAATTTTACAATCATATCTCACAAGCAGAGAAGGGCATAAATACATTGAAATGTATTTAAATACTAAATACATTATTCTTGTAATTTTTTCTTAAATACAAGATACGTTATGGGTTGTACGGATATATTTAAATACTAAAACAATACTTCCAAATTGTATTTAAATACCTGTCAAATGCATTTTTATAATTATATACGAATTTAGTTCCAAACATTTTTAAACTGATGTGTATACTCCAGCCACCAGTTTCTGCTTTTCTAATTTTAAAAACTTACTATTATTATTATTATAATTATTTATTTATTCATAGGCTAACTATTGGCCATTGCAACTACAGTAACTGATAACTGTGTGTCTCAGATTGGGGTATTGGCATATTGCCGACTTTACTAAGACTTGTTACCGGTAATTTGTTGTTTGGATCATTGTGGTATTTAGTACTGTACCATCATTTCTTAGGTTTGTGCTGCAGATTTCCCAAATGAACTGTCAAAGTTAAAATACTCATAGTTGTCTGAGGACCGAGGCAGCGCTGCTACAGGCTAATGCTTTACCTGTGTTGGTGGTGCTGCCATATCTGATTGACAATTTCGGTACAGTTATTGTAAAAGTTTCGGAAGAATTTTATAACATATCAGCTGAATGTATACTGTAACTGTATAATATATTTACAAATTTATTTGAAATTAAAGTATAATTAAATACATATTTAGATACCCGCTCAAAAATGTATTTATAAATATTGTATTTAAATACATTTATGAGTAATGTCAAATATATTACTGCCCATCTCTGCTCATAGGTTAATTGCCAAGAATTTTATTTGCAAAAGATATCTAGTCTAAGGATCATTGTTTTTGTTAAAAGGGGCTGCCCTTCTCTTATTGTTGATGTTGTTTGTTCCTTTATACAGTACAGTGGTTTTATGGGTCTTATGTGTTTAATACAAAGATAAAAACACAACATGTTGGACAAGTCTTGCAGTATTTAGAGGTCGTATCCAAAACTTGCTAGTATCCAGAATGAAATGATGCAACATTTCATGATTAAATTATTTACTGTATATGAGCTCTATACAGTAAACTTTCGATAACTCGACACAAATGGGACTCTGGCCTTGCTGAGTTATCGAGGGTTTACTGTACATATTATAAACGGTGATAAAATAAAAAACTTAAATGTACATCTATTGTCTGACAAAGATGGATTGCTGCTCAAATAATGCTCCCATTTAGAATATTTCTAAGGTTTTATGTAAATTACTTTTATATGCCATGAAAGGCCAATAAAAATTTTCTAGTTAAATGTATTCTAAAGGAATCACACATATACAAAACCTCTATTTTCCTCATAGATTGGTATGATCCATTTTGGTTCCAAGCCATTGAACCCAGGGCCGGATTAAGCTTAATAGGGGCCTGAGGCACAGATCAGCTTGGGGCCCCCTACCCTCAAGGTATATATAAATAACAAGAACAAAATATACCCAAATTTATCAATGATTTCATTAATATTAAGCTTCTGCAAAATAACACACTTAATGTTCATTAGAGACAGAAAATTGAGACGTTGCTAGGACATCGTTGAACGAAGTTCATGTTTTATACGCTTCAACTTCGAGAATGTTTGGATTTGGGGGCCCTTTAGAGTCGGGGGGCCTGAGGCCAGTGCCTCAAGTGCTTCATGGTTAATCCGGCACTGAATGAACCCAGATATGAGGGCTTTACCAGAAAAAGGTATTTCAGGGCCAATCCTGCCTATCCTTTACCAAACAGTTACTTGTGTTCCAAAACCAGCTAGAGAAGAGGAAAGAAGAAATGCTTCAAAAAACAACACAATCAATCGGGTGTACTCCTTTGGAGGTTGAATATTTCTTTATATCTGCCACTTAAAAAGGTTGGAAGTGTGCTATATTCTCTTTTAACTCCTTACTCTACAGTCCTTGGTGCTATCTTTGGATCGCTAAACTAAAATCTATTACATATCGAATTCTGTAATGATAATACAAAGTTAAAAAATATAGATTTTTTTTTTTAAGGGGATTAGCCCACCTGGGAACAGGTCACTGACCCACATCAGGGCCTGGGGGGCAAAAATGTAATTGTAATAATAATAATTCATAGTAAATAAAATTTATAAAAAAAAAAATAATAATAATAACTGTAATAATAATAAATAATAATAATAAAGAACCATAAAAACAAAAGTGAAAAAAAGATCAAAAGTGAGAAACAATATATGTATGTTGTGTTGTCAAAGTAAGAGAAACAATTGAGACGCTGTAATTGTGTGTAAACGAGGCAGAAAGGCAGATCAGCAACCTGGGACTTGGTCACAATTTCCGTGATGCCATATGGCAGCAGGGTCTACCATTAGATAATACATTATGCTTCCAATATCTTCCCAGGGGGTAGTACCTCCCTGTTTGGTAGCTGCCTACTACCTACTAGACTAGAGTGATCCAGTGTCAAGGAATAGTCCGAGAAGACCGGACAACTCGCCAACTGCACTGGCTAACCATTACCCCGAAACACGATCCGCAAATCGATTAACATCCAGGTTTCCAATTACTGCTGGGTAGACAGAGGCAAATGGCGTTAAGAAACTTGTCCATAGTTTCACCCAGCCCGGGGATCGAACCCGGGTCCACTTGCTTGCGAGGCGAGCATGCTGATCATGAACACCACAGGTCGCCATCGAGGTACTGTAAACTCACCTGGACACACACACACAGAACTAAACAAACAATGTACTGGAAATACTTTATAACATTCAGTACCATAATATCCTGACCACTGGGGTCTGTTATACACACCCTCTGTGACCTCTACTGTAATCCTTTTGCACTACTGGTTACAGGATGAACATGAGATGCACAATAAACTAGACATTGAAGCAAATTTCAATTCATTCACACACACACACACCTACATACTCACCACACACACAAACACACGTATTTACTGATCCACCCCACACACCACATATACACCCACCCTCACACCAAACACACACACACACGCACCCTAACGCACAACCCACAACTCCACAGACACACACCACATACAACTGTACTGTACACACACACACCACATACGAGTGTACTGTACACACGCACACACACACACCACATACGACCACCATTGCCTTAAGAATTTTATTAATTCATGTCAAGTGTGAGAGAAGCAGAACGTAACTTCTCAAAAATGAAATAAGTGAAAAATGAAGGGCGTGCTACAATGTACCAAGACAAGCTGAACTACCTCGCCATTATGTCCATAGAAAGCGATCTCACTGAATGATTGTCTTTCATGATGTCATTTCTCAGTTTGCCCCTATGAAAACTCAAAAGGACAAATTTTAACAATATCTCCCATCATATTAAATGAACATAACATTTCATTCTTGAAAAGGTACAGTCAACCAAAGATGCACTGACCCCACCCGAGTCTCGTGCTCGCAATTTTACCTGGTAATACTTGGTAAAGTAAGGCTGTATGTAATGGTAATTGTGATTGGTGGATCTATTTTCGTCTGTATCGCTGTCAGGATAAATATTAAACAAACCAAAGGTAGCGTTTTTATAATAATAAACCATCCATCATTATTTTAGAAATTTAGATCATGAGAGGTTTCCAAATGTCCGCATATTTGCTTAAATAATGAAGAAAATTATAATAATTAATTGGCAACACAACTACAATCACAGCTGCCACAGGATACTCGCATCATTTTGTTTTCATTATTTAAGCAAATATACAGACATTTGGAAACCTCTCATGATCTAAAATAATGATGGATGATTTATAATTATAAAAACGCTACCTTTTCTTTAATGCAGTATTATACTCAGGCATTTTTTTAAGGTAAAAAGTTATTGCTACTGACCTCAGAATATCTCCTAATATCAATGCACATAGCTTCAAAATGGCCTCAAAATGCTCGCTAGGTGGACTCGCTGTGCTCGCCATGTTCCCTCGCTCACAATTTCTCGGACCCCCTCTCTTTTGATATTCCTGGGATCTGCCGCTCGTGTCAGTTGTGTTGAAATGTATCGTGAAGTGATACAGTTGTGTTTAGATTTATCATGCAGTAATGCAGTTGTTTTGTGATGTACTTTATCATTTTTTTTTTTTTTTTTTTATTGGGCACTCCCCTACAGCCTTGTGCAAGGTGAAGCGCAGAAGCGTTTACAGTGCCCAACAGGGAAGCATGCTAAGTTCATGCTTGCCTTTATATCTCATGAGTTAAGGGCGTAGAAGCCTGAAGAGTCAAGGGCATAGAAGCCTGGAGAGTCAATGATTTATGTCATCAAGTTATTGAAAGTTCCAACAACTTGTCCCTGAATACGAATTCGCAACTTTCGATTTACACCAGGTACCTACTTTACTGCTAGGTGAACAGGGACTAATGGGGGCTAGGAAGTATGTCCGAACAACTTCCACCGGCCCGGGAATCGAACCCGTGACATCTCGCTTGCGAAGGCAAGAGCGATACCACTCTACCACCAGCACCCCCGTACTTTATCATGTAGTGTGATACAGTTGTGTTGAAATGTGTCATGTAGTGATACAGTTATGTTGTAAGTTTTCGTGACAATTAACCTCCACCTTTCCGTTGAAGTTTTGCATAGATAACCTCGCTGACCTTAACCCAGTGGCCTTGACTTCTAATCAACGTGATCAAAATTAATACGATTCTCCTGCTCCCTAGAATCATTCGACTCACTCGCCATGTTTCACACCGCGTTTATTTATCCATTTTTTGGGACAGTTGTTGTAACGTCACGATATCTGACCTTGACCAGTGAGGCATGGGCTGGGTATTGGTCAATATAGAGACCATTCCCCCCCCCCTTTTTTTAGGTCAGTCAGTAAAGAAAAATGTCACAGAAGAAAAAAATACTGAACCAGTGTGTAGCGAAGCCCCCCCCCCCCTTCCAGCTCTTGTTCCTTTGTAATGTATTCTTTACCATACTGTATGGTGTTTCTATAATCTTCATTACGTTCGTATTGTAACTCATGACTTGGTACTTAAGTACTGTACTGTATCTCCAATATACAATAACGCCAGAGTTGGAAACACATCAATCATAAAAATAAATGCTAATTACAGCACTTTTCAAAATATGTAGGTTATGCAAAAAATTAATTATATTACTGTACGCTCATTATCTCGCTGCTGACCTTTGATACAATATTTCGCAAATTTTCCGAATGGTTTTGCTTTCGTCTGTAAGATCTAGTTTTCTACTTTAGTATGACTCAATATATTGGACCGTTTTATCGGAAATTATCATGTAAATAGGTAAGTAATTACCAATGCAATAAACATAATTGCCAACTAGACATAATCCTGACAGCTCTCTCCTCTTGTTCAACCTTATTACTGTACAACCCATGTTGTACTGCTCCCCCATTATACTTATGTTTTTTTTTCAATTCCACTGTAATTTATGTATATATAAATAAAATAAAAATAAAATAAATAAATAAAATTAATAAATATTGAAGTGATAACCGTGGTAACATTATGAGATATTATTACCACCATGCTATTGTACTATACCAGATGATACTAAATGTTACATAATACTTCCTTGAGAAAAATTTATATCGGGTGCCTAAAAGAGAGCTCAGGTTCTCAACTGGCTCAGCCATGTTAATATTGTAATTATTATCCACTCTGTATTTGTTTTTTTCTGCCTAATAAACTGTTTCAATTAAATTAAATTCAATGCTGTCTCCATCTCTGTGTGGAGACGTAAGTCAGGATCGCACGCTTGACAAGTGGACAACATCGTCGCCACATGCGATCTGCCAAGATTATTTAGACTTGGCGACCAAGACATCAATTGTTGTTAACATTATACCTGGCAATTTTAAGGTTTTCCTCCTGAGGATAACTCTAGCAAATTTTCACGTCACAATTCAATCCACACTATCCACTGTTTTCTGAAGAAATAGAAGACCCCATTTTTACAGAACATTTCCAGGTAATTTTCTGTTACCGTTGAGTAATCAATGGAAGAAAAATATCACCGTCGCATATCTTGTTGTGACTCGTCTGTCTGCCCGTCAATGGCACAGCTAAATTACTGTAAATGCAATCCGGGTATTGTCTAAAATAATATTAATAATTCAAGATCGATTTAGTTTTGGTACAGGTATTATGTTGAGTTCATGGGACCTTCTGCAAAAGCTTTATACAATGTCCTGCAGTTGGGTCTGTGAAGAACAACAACTCCCAGATGTGATGCTGAAGAAGCGAATGAGAGCAATAATAGTAAATGATAGAAAAAAAAAACTACCTTACAAGTGTGTAAGCCGACTGATCTCTGAGGCCGAACAAGTGGCACTAATAAACTAATTATACCTGTGAGAGTCACCTTAATGAATGAGTTACCTTATTGAAGAAGACTGTGGGCTACCTTCCTGAAGAAGATACTGGGCTATCTTCCTGAAGAAGAGAGTGGGCTACCTTATTGAAGATGATTGTGGGCTACCTTATTGAAGAAGATTGTGGGCTACCTTACTGAAGATGATTGTAGACTACCTTACTGCAGAAGATAATGAGCTACCTTGGGAAGAAGATAGTGGGCTACCTTACTGAAGAAGATTGTGGGCTACCTTACTGGAGTAGACTGTGGGCTACCTTACTGAAGAAGATTGTGGGCTACCTTAGGGAAGAAGATAGTGGGCTACCTTACTGAATAAAATGACTTACCTTTATGAAGAAAATACCGAGTTACCTTACTGAATATGATGAGTTGCCTTACTGAAGAAGACACCGAATTACGGAATTACCTCGTAGTAAGTGCTGACATTGGACCATCATGATGAATTCTGGTGCTTCGCCTGGCGCCGCTAACCACGCGGTATACTGTTAAATCTGACTGGTAAACGTTTCTTTTATAAACAAAAATTCGTTCTTCATAATTATACAAGTATACTATAAGGATATCACTTCAACAATAAAGCTTCGGAGGCTGCAAGGAAAATCTTTAATAAAAAAATTATCTTTTATTGAAGTATTTGGTACCATGGAGAATATTCAGCTACAGTACAAATAATATTTTAAAATTACAGATAATTCACTGTACAATGTTATCAAAGAGGGATGTGTATGTGTGTGTATGTGTGTGTGTGTGTGTGTAAGAGATAGAAGCATAAATACAGTACCGTTAAACAAACTGATGGTTTAATTGGGAGAGTCGAGTTAGAACGTAAATGAGCAGCTACGATGGTGAAAATAAGCTTTAAATTCAAAATAGTTACTTCCATGTTCGGCTCACGTGAGTTGAGTACTGTACAGTACCACTAGTAATAATTATTTTCGGACTGACTGTTGGCAATGTTGCTGAACCACTGCCATCAACTCGTGTGTTTCAAAACTTTTCCCTATCTGTGGTACTTAAATGTTATTTAACTTCAGGAACCATGACTTTTATCTTGTTTCAAGAATGCTCAAATTTATTTTAAATATTAAACAAGCAATTACTCGTACGCCACACTAGCGAACGAATAAATTTTTCTTCGTTGAGGATTGATGGTGCTAGTCAGCAGCAAAATCACGTAAGGAGGCGTTGGCGCCGCGAAAACTACTTAATTATATACGATATTTTAATGTGAAATAAGTCGTATTAAGTGGAATTAGCAGGTCGTGTGAGTGTCAAAAAGCCATGTATAAAACTAATGTGCAGCTCAAAATAACTCGCAATATTCAGTTATTTCTTATTCTATGTTTCTAGCACTTCACAAACTAGGCATGGTAGCTTGGAGGAAGGAGAGAGAGAGATGACTGGTATGGTGGTGGAGCAGCAGCTAATCATTAAGAGGGGTACCTTCTCTGACTCTCTTGAGCTTTTCCATAAGTATCTGCATCTTGAGCTGGTGTTGCTGCTGGAGCATGTGTCGCTGCTGGTGGTGGAGGGTCAGCTCAGCCTCCAGTACCCTCAGGCGGGCGGCGCCCTCCTCCCGCAGCTGCGCCAACCGCACCCTGGGGGAGGCCAAGCCACGCCACAGTTAGTTACTGTGGGGAACACTCGTAATGACACTAACAAATCACACTCATAAACAAGTCTTGGTGGGGTCGCTGGAAATCACCTCGTTACAAACACACTGTACAATTATTTAAAACTTACATGTGTTTAAATTTGACTGCAATATTTTAATTTGATAAAACCTTGAAAATAGTGTCATACAGAATCCTAAACAAAATATTGTATTAAAAATTACCAAAACTAAAGACTAAATACGACAGGAACGATGTATTGGTTATTTACTGATGGGAATACATCACATTACAGAGAGCTAAGGTTTTGAACGTGAGACCCAGTGGAGAGTGAGCAAGTTACTGTGACTACTCACGACCTGCTGCTATGATGTGTGGTGGTGGAGGGTGCCGCCCTGCCCTACACACAACCGTCCCCCAACACAAACTCCCCACAACCCACAACAAATATACCCAACGTCAAACAGCTTGTTATTCTTAAAAAGGGGAATAGTGCAATTGTTCTTAGCTAACATATGTAACACGATGGGGATGATGGCGCTCAAGTGAAATTTACAACTAGGTGTTAAATGAGATATTATTTACTATTTTCGTATCTTTTGTAACCTAAGACGATTGCGTAGTGCGCTCATTTAAATGTCATAACATCACATAATGTATCTTGGGTAATGTTTACTGGTCAGGCGGTGTACAGTTGTGGTTACCTGTGACAAGGTAGGAACTGTCCCATGATTGATTGATTGACTGATTGTGGTAACTCTCCCATCTATAACATTAACTCACAAAGTGCTTCACGCTACGTCACTCGCACTCTGCCTTTACCCCGTATGATCATTTTTTTTATATTATCTGACACCCGTACGTCCGCTGCATCAGTGTTAAAGGGTGCACTGAATTATTCTCCCCAAGTCTCTAAAGTTATAGACCAAGGGTGACAGAGCGCCACTAGCTTGCAATACAGTAAACATGTGGTGATGGAGTGATCATTCATGACCTGAGTAAGTCAGTCACCTTGGCTTCTGTTTCATCTTAAACTATAGTGAATTACAGTAGTGTGTTACAGTAGGCAGGTATGTCACATCACTTGGTTTCGACTCCCTCATCACCACTCAACGAGTCTCATTATTTCTCATTTATTTTACTTACCTATACAGCACCTAATACAACTTTTTTTATTTGTATCTAAATTTTATCATATGTAACTAATGAATCAGAATGCACTTACTATAAGATGAAGCCTTATCCATGAAGGATAAGGCTTCAACCATACAAACTCTTTGGATCGTGTAAGTAAATCATATAAGTGAAGGGTTAGTTTCTGGCAACTCCTGCCACTTACATGAAGTAAAAAACATAAATAGACTGGAAAAGATGTAATGTATATTTGAAACCATATAAATCTACGGTCGCCACAACCCATATTTAGTTTACATACCAATCTATTCTTTTTTTTTCTCTTATTGTTATTAGTGACCACTGACCTTGATTACTGGCATCACCAAAGTATTTCTGTGCTCCAGATACTGATGATATATACGGTACCATGAAGACTGCTAACCAAAATATATTGGTATTTATGAGATATGACTTTCAAAAGGAAATTTGTCAAAATAACGAGGGGAAAACTGAAGAACTCCAAGAGCAACTGCAGTCCAAATATCATGGGTAACCACCAGGGTGACCAGAGTCGTACTGTAAGATGGAGTACATTATGGTGATCTCATTAGTATACCTGCCATACTGTAAGCCATATTCTCAAGTTATGAAAAGTTTTATACTCAACATATCATTAAATATCTATTAAGCGATATTGGGATGTGTGGGACCTTGTTGTGGAAAGAGCCTATTCATAGCAGAGGAAATCATTTACATCAGCGATAATGAATGAATGAATGACAATTAATGGAGAAGACTTATTTGTTCTTGGCTCCTGCACCCTCAAGGATTGCAGGTAAAACGTTCGAAAATTTGGCAAAAAATGAAACTAAAAAAATAAGAAAACATTTATTTACTCGTCAAAGCCAAAACAATATTAATTAGATTATATTTGATACCTGTCATGATACTAGAGGCAATAAGCCTTCCTCACCCGCCGGGGAGCCATGAACGAGCCTGGCCCCTAGCGTAGTAAGGCCGCCCCTGTCTCCCACCTACTAATTATAACTAATCTATGACACAGCACGAGGCTCGCCACAACCCAGAGCTCCACACATGCATCACCACTGCACGTCACCTACACGCTCAAAATGTTCCATCACTGCATCTGTTTTACTCCACTGATTTGTTGGATCCATGACAAGTAGGAAAAATTACTTATAAAACTAGTGAAGCTTTGAAGAAAACTGACAAATTTTGTATCTAATTTCTGTCCTCCCACAAGCTCGCACACAAAAGGGTTAAGAATTCCTTTACCTGTATATACATGTTTGCAGACAATTATGCAGGTAGTTATTGCGCTTCATCTGTAGTGTACATTATGTTCAGTGTAACTTACACCCTGTAGATAATCACGTCATCTTACAAGCACTACCCTACCGCGGGACGTAAAGTACTGGACGTAAGAAGAAACGCCTGCCAGGTGACAGGATTAATATTTACTAAACACAAAACTTTCACACTGTATACTGTATGTGACATGTACTACCACCCTACCTCCTGACAACCACCACACCCTCTCCGTTACCTGTACATCTGAACCAGTCTTAGCAATCAACGACGAGTTATTGTCAGATGTACTGCTTTCCAACGCATTTAATAATTTTCAAGACAAATAAATTCCATGCCACACAGTATTTCCCTGTCACCACTATGTGTCATACTACAACCCTATCTTTGGGTAAACAAACAGTACAGCACAAGTGCTCCCGGCGAGATCCAGTAAGTGGGAGTCTCAGGCGTGTAAATTAAGTAGTGTTGTTCCTCTCTGTATGTGTAGCTATTCAGAAGGGCACATACCTATGGTACTCTCTGTCTCTATCTTCAGCATCAGGTGTGTGAGTGCTAGTGGAGGCGCCATTAGCCTGGAGCCAGTGTGAAGCAGGCGGCTTCACCTGCTGGTGGTAGTCGAAGTGGATCTTGTCTTGAGGCGACATGGCAGAATCCTCCTCTTGCTCTAGCTTGGCCACGGAGGAGCTGCTGCACGATTCCAGCTGCGTCTCCACGGGCAGGGGACTCGCTGGCCCGTCCTCTGAAGTTAAACAAGAGTTCGTCAAACTAAACCCCCACTGTTATGTGACTTCAATATTACTACCACCCTATACTATACAACATAAATCATTTCCTCAGGCGCCTCATCTTCGCTTCGGGGGAGAGTAAATGGACAGTGTGTACATAATAATGTGAGCAAAGACGGGCGAATCATTTGTCAGAGAACAAAGTCTATTACATAATGTAGAAGACGGCAGTAACATCTGAGAAGACCAGTTAGTGGAGGCTGGGACGTTGACAAGTGTTCTGTACTTCCGCTACAGCAGGAGGTAATGACGGGAAAGCGACAACACACTAGTAGCTTAGTAGACTCACCTGGGTTGGAATTGATGCAGAGATCAGGTGAGGGGGAGGAGGCGGTATGCGTGGCGGTGTGGTGGGTGTGGTAGGAGTCGGGAGAGATGGTAGGGGCATCTGTTGTCATGAGTTGGTAGTGAGTGGTGGTGTCTCCGGCAGTAAAGGCCTCGTGTTCCCGCTTGATGACGGTAAGTAGCGGTGTGAGGAGACTGCCCGCCTGTCTCTCCCCCTCCCCCGGTCCCTCCCCGCCCGGCTCTGCGACCCCTTCACTCTCCCCACCACCATCCACCTGCCGTGGACAAAATCATATGAAAATTTACAATTCTTACAACACACAATCAATTATGAATTGACGCAAGAACACTACATTATACAAGCGTTTTCTACAATACGGTTTGGCATGAGACTACCGTATACCAACAACAGAGGGCAGTGATGCATGCACAATATACCCTCGTTAACAAAGTTGGCCTCCGTCCTTCTGTTGTAACCCTGACCTTAGAATACAGTGTTCTATACTCTAAATATGATTCAACTTAAATATATCTTTATAAGCCAGAGTAACACGCATATATAAACTAATTTATAACATCGTGCTGGTCGTCATTAATATTATTGTACTAATAATTATATGAAAGACATTTGTTGTATGACAATAACAAGGTTTATCTTCAACGATAACAACCAATCAAATTCGAGAATAAGGGATACTATAATAAATTCACTAGTTGGGTTGGGTTAGGTCAGGTGTCAACCAAATTATACTGAAGGTGACATGATTCACAGATTCCATTATTACTACACCTGGGACCATAACCTAAAGAGGAGGAAGTGCTGAACTGAACTCACCCGTTCCCTCCTGACGCGCTTCTTGGCCCGGAACTTCTCATCGCGCCACAACACCTGCCGTAACAACAGTTAGAACCTATCAACTTCACCTTGTGTAAACACTTATTATTAGACTTCTTTTCAATTTCATATCTCCAAATATATCATAAACACACAAAAACAGACATTCACACATTATGAATTTTATTATCAGTACTATTAATACTATTGTTATTATTATCATTAATACCATCATGATAATTATCATTGGTATCATTTTTATTATCACCAATATTATTACTAGCACCTGTACTGTCATTACTATTACTATCCTTTTTACTATTATTATACAGGTACTTCTACTAAGTCTATATACAGTCGTAATCTCCGGAAATATGCCTGCTGCCCCAGGGAGGTCTGCTCCACCCAGATAACACGGACTACACGCTCTAACACCTACCGTGTATTAAGAGAAACTGAAGTGTTAGAACAAAGGAACCACTTGAAGATTAGACCCCTTAACTTATTTCAACAGAAAATTTACCACCTCAATGCTACCTGGAGAGGTTAGGTTAGGTTAGGAAGATAGGGTAGCTAATATTCACATGATCCCTAGATTATTGTTCTCAGTGGGTATGAGAGAACACTCCTATCACGGCAGTTTCGTTATAATTTCGTCGTTGTATAGACTGTTACCTCTGTGTGATTGTTTAATCCAGTCAGTAAGATGGTTCTCAATTAAAGGAAACGAATGCTTCAGACTGCAGGGCCGCGCGGAAGTGTGGCGCGGGACGCTAACTTCGTCACGGTTTAAGGTAATCCATGATCTACTTTTACCACAACTATTATTTGCAAGCACAAATTGGACGTGTAAAATTTGGGAGTGAATTCCATTTGTTTAAAAAATTATTTTCAATTTATAGTCGGGTCTTACTAACCTTAGTTTTTAAACTTGCATTAGATACCAGTGTGTTGGCGGTAGGATTGTGACGACACCGTGAAATGACGTTGCTTAAATGTTGTCGGGGATTATAAATATCTAGATATAAGCTTTCACCACTATATATATATATATATATATATATATATATATATATATATATATATATATATATATATATATACACAGTATATATATATATATATGAGAGAGAGAGAGAGAGAGCGACCTACCTGTAGTTGTCTGCGAGTCCTGGGGTAAACGTTGTGTTGACTGTTGTACTCCAGCAGTAAGCGGTTCCACGCATCCCTAAGAAACAAAACAAAAGCTACACAGCGTCACAGAGGCCGCCTGCAGGAGCTTGACCTCCTGTGGCCGTGGTCACGGCTCTCTTAACTTCTTGCTCAACACTACATCGTTTCATTATCGTAGTTCATCTTCTATTTACAATAACTAAAATACATGGATATAATGAGGGTAATTGTGAGAACACCAGTTAATTACCTTCAAGCTAAGAATGGATTTTATTAATTCAACGTCAGTTGATTAGGTTTCGTAGGGATGAAGCTCTTGCTAGTGTTAACGCCCCCCCCCCCACTCCGTAAAGTCCAGGTCCAAGTTAACCAATCGGGTGTGTTTTTCAACAGGGCTGGTTATGGATGGCTGCGGTTTAACCCCATAATATTACCCATAAACAAATCGCACAAGCATTAAGTTGCCAAACCTAATCTAACCTGTCCTAATTTATCAATAAGTTTTAATCTAACCCGACTTACGCAATATTAAATTTATATCTAGTTAAGCTGGACGTTACAAATCAAATATGATAAATTCCATCACATGTTTGAACTCGGCCTAAAGACAACAACTCAACCCGGTGTTAAATACAGTACGAAAGTTTGGGACCGTGAGCAAGTGTTTCCTAGCAGAGTTTCCCGCGCAACCCGTGTGACAGCTGCTCACTACTGCCTGACGCACGACACACTGTAGGCCTCTCTTCCTGTCACACGGCCGTCAGCTATCATGTCACTTTTAACGACGGGAGAATGACATGGTGAGGGCAGTACAAGTGGAAACTAAGATTGGGGGACGGACTTGCAGGGACTCCGGAAATGAAGAATAGCTCAGCCCCATTATTTCACACACAATTTCTTGCATAAATATACATATATGTTTAATAAACGGAAGCACACCCACAGTATCAGCCTCCCCCCACACACAGCAACATTGTCATCCACAACACACACCCACGCCTTCAGCCACAACACACACATATCAATATCAACACTATCAGACACACACAGTCAGCCACGGCTCGCACCTGGTATATGCATGACCTTCATCTCCGAGTCCCTCAGGCGTAAGTGGAAAGTCAAACATTGTCGTACAGTATAACATGGGGGTAATGGAGAGAGACAGAGTGTGTGTGTGTGTGTGTGTGTGTGTAACATAACTAAGTTAAATTCTATAGATAATGTTAGATTGTGGCTGGGTGAGATTACATTAGATTAGGCTAGGTAATGTTAGAGTAGGTTAGGTGAGGATGGGTTAAGTTAGATGATGTTAGGCAAGTTAAGTTAGATATGAACAGGTGAGACATTAGGTGATGTTTGCTTAGTTTAGGTTAAGTTACCTAAGTCGGGTCAGATAAAGATATGATGGGATGGGTTAGGTTAGGTCAAGTTAGGTTACCTTAAGTCGGGTCAGATAAAGATATGATGGGATGGGTTAGGTTAGGTCAAGTTAGGTTACCTTAAGTCGGGTCAGATAAAGATATGATAGGATGGGTTAGGTCAGGTAATTTTGCTGGTCCCTTGGCAAAAAAGGGCAGTTAACTTTGACGATTTGTGTACGTGCAATGGAGTTAGTAACTGAGGAAGTGTTGCAGAGAGGAGAGTGGTGAGTGTTACAAGGAGGGCGGATTAGGGTGGCATGAGTGTAGAGTGGGAGGGAGAGGTGAGCGAAAATTGAGAGCGTAAGTGAGAGATATAGAGAGGGTGAGAAAGACTGTGTGTGTGTGTGTGTGTGTGTGTGTGTGTGTGAGGGGGGGGCACGGCCTACCTGATGGTGTCGACGGAGGATCGCTTGTCGTTGATGGTGGCGGCGTACTGGCTGAACACAGAGTAGAACACCTCCTTCTCGTACTTGGTGAAGTTGCGTGACCGGTGACGTTTTTGCATGTTCATTTCTCTGTCCTCCCGAGCCTCCATCTTGTGGGGGAGAGAGGGAGGGAGTCGCCAGGCAGCGTCTCACAGTGTATGGAAATTGAGGCAGGTGAAACACTACCAGCAGTCGGAATCTCAAATACGACTGCTTTATGAGTCGCCGCGTCGCAACTCGGTTCCGTCAATACTCATTTCCCGACCATAATATTTGGCGACCCTCCCCAGGAACAAATAGATCTTTCGCTATTTAGCTCACTGGCGTTTTATTTTATTTCCTAATTTGGTTTGTTTATCATGTTAAACATTAAACTGAAGATGGTAGGCGAATCAGTTAACATGTTTACACTGTATGGTAGGAACGTGAATTCAACGCCTCGTTAAGCTTTGTCCTTCCTCGTAAACGTGACGTAAGCAGCAGCGGCGTCTGGCCGCAGCGGCGCTGATCGTACCCTGCCAGTGTCGTAACTTAGCGCCACCACCTGTCCAGACGTATAACACCGTGTATGTTGTTACTCTCAAGTTACCCTCAACACACATGGCTGTTGTCTGTTACCAGTGATCTTTACACCTCCCTCACAACCCTGCATCACACAACCTCTACACACACCTTGGTCATGTACTGTACCGAGTGATGATCACATTTATCCTATGTAAAATGCATATGGACAAAAAAACTATAAATAAATTGAAAATAAATATTATAATTAGAATGAATTACTTGCGATGCCTGTCAGGTAGCGGGAGTGAGTGAGGGCATCTCCTCCCTTCATTCTTACACCACACCCGGGGTATTATTGTTCTTAGTGTGTGTGTGTGTGTGTGTGTGTCATTATGGCTGTGATCCTCACTCACTCACTCACCCACCCACCCACCACCCGGAGCTCTTGGCCATTCCCACCCCCCACCCACCTGTACACCCTTCCCACCCTCGCGCTCTCCCCCTGTACCTACCAACACATCCTCACACACCACAAAATATATACTGTACAACGTGTTGGTGCACCTCGCCGCTACCAAGAATTCATTTATCAGACTTGACAATAAATCACGCAGGGTATTAAAAAAAACGAATAACACCAAATAAAAAATCACAAGTTTCAGGATTGTATCCAGAATAGTAGAGGTTGCAGTAATGGAGGCCGATCACACACACACACACACACACACACACACACACACACCCCAAAACAGAAAATAACATGTTAACCTGAATTATTACTATCAATTTCCACTTCAATTTACCTTTAGAGTCAACAAATCACTTCAAAAATATTCTTAATACCTGATCACAAGACAGTTTATTCAACAATCCTAATTTCTACAGTATATTATACCTGTATCACTTATGCTTACTTAAAAGACAATGGGAATAAACTCTAAACATATTAAAGCGTTCAACAGAGTGACTTAAACGTATGATACATGCTACCTTAGTTCTGTCATGCTACAGTAATATCGAGTTAACGAGTTGGGTAGGTAAGACACGTCAATCTGTACCTGTACTTTACCTGTGTGTCGTCTACTGCTGCTCCCTCCTCACCCCCATGACAGGTGTACGAGCGACAATAATGTGGTAAATCAGCCAAGAGTGGGTGGGTGGGTGTAAAAGTCCGTCAAGGGACACACACAGGTTGTTACTTTCAGAGGTACACGGGGAACACCACCTTGTCTTCCGGAGACTTCACCACCAGGAACGTTGAGGCGAGACTTACACCGGGTCCTTCCTGTATTACCTAGCTTGGTAATTAAACAGGGTAAATATTTTTGTTACTAATTTATCTAATTGAACTCAATTAAGCAGGGTAGATATCAATGCATGTTTGTTTGTTTGTTTTTTCATTTATCTAATTTTCCAGGGTTGGACATGACGTCGAGGACCTGACAGCCAGCACGTGAACACACATCCAGCCCCGCACACTAACTGGTATTTTTTACCAATATCCAGCAACTGAAATTGTTTTACAGCTCTGACTGAAATTCTTGAAAGGGCAGACAGCACTGCCAAACATTCCGACAGATTTTGTTAACTTGAACACACCACAGAGAGAAAAATACACAGTTTTTTCAACAATACATGTGAGCGTGGACAGTGGAAGAGCGCGGGAAAGACTACTGGAAAAATGGTTCCTTTGATATAGGAAAAAGTGAACCGTAAGTCATGATGAGTGCAGTTTCCTTAAAAGTTACTAATATAAGCAGAGTATAAACGTGGAAATATGTTGGCTAACCTTACGACCACACAAAACTGGTCGGCCTCTTCACCCCTAAGCTAGCAGCTCTTCGTCGTCTTAAGTTCTACAAACTATAAAAAGAACCTCGTCTGCCAAGAGGAATGTAAGAGTATTCAAAGAGTAAACAAGAGCATCTGGAGATACCATGAACTACTGTCCAAGAAAAATAGAACATGTGGCCCACAGCCATCAGTGGATCAACAAGGTACTCAGTGCTCCAAGGATTACGTCCACACACCTATACTTACTGAGTAGTGCACCAGTATATAAATAACTCCATCTAATGTAAAATCTGCTGGAAAAATAAAATAAAACTGTATGACTTATAATTAATTCCCGCTGACATGTACAGAGGCAGCCACTGCCTGTCTGTTACTCGCACCTACGACCCAAAACATTTTTTCCCTCGTCTAAAACCTCAAACTCTGTATTTCTATCTATTCTGACAGTAAATAAATAACCTTAGCCTGGTTGTGGGCGACATAACCAAATATAAATAACTGATAACGTGGGCGGCTCCTGCGGGCGTAATGTGATGGTGAGTGGGCGTGAGGACGTGAAGAGTATGAATACCAAGAGGTAATTGGTGTGTGTTTGTGAGACCGCAAGGAAGTTTGAAGGCGTGTGGGTGTATAAGGGCGTGTGGGTGTGAGGGCGTGTGGGTGTGAGGGCGTGTGGGTGTGTGAGGGCGTGTGGGTGTGTGAGGGCGTGTGAGTATGTGAGTGCGTGTGGGTGCGTGTGGGTGTGCGAGGGCGTGTGGGTGTGGGAGGCGTGTGGGCGTGGGAGGGCGTGTGGGTGTGGGAGGGCGTGTGGGTGTGCGAGGGCGTGTGGAGTTGTGCAGGGGTGTGATGACCTGGAGACGAGCAGGGTGGGGAGGTGGAAGTAAGAGATACACTATGTAAGGTTCCCAACACCAGTTTAACACCTCACTCACTCATATACTGTACTGTACTGGCTCCTTACAGTACTTAATGGCATACCTGTCGTACACCCTTACAGAAGAAAAGTATGGACGAACGGACGGACGGAAGCACGCACGCCCATCACCCACCTACACCCTCACACACATGGACAAAGTATCCAGATATTTGTTGTGAACGTTACTCTCCGCCCATCACTGCGGTGCCTTGTTATGTGTCGAGATTCAAAGTTGTACACAAGATAAAAAGGAAAAAAGGAACGATTGACGTATTGAGTGTGGAAGCCATGTTCAGTACAGTACTTGATGATGATGATGATTTATTAACGTTCCACTTACAATAAACCAGTAAGATGGTCAATGTTATAAAAACCTATGATAACCTAACCTAACCTAACCTATATCAACCTAGCCCAATCCAGCCTAATCTCACATAACATAACCTAATGACTCTACATAAAGACCTAGATAGATTAGGGTAGGTTTAGTTGGTGTGTGCCATCCTCTCATACTCGACGGATTCGTCAAGTTCGTGGTGACTTTATAAACATCGATCACATTCCAGGCGACCACAGTTTCTTAATACAAGTTCAGGTAACATGAGACCAGGAACACAATTACTGTTAGCTGTGTTATGTACTGCAGCGGGTGGCTGTGTTATCTACTGCAGCGGGTGGCTGTGTTATCTACTGCAGCGGGTGGCTGTGTTATCTACTGCAGCGGGTGGCTGTGTTATCTACTGCAGCGGGTGGCTGTGTTATCTACTGCAGCGGGTGGCTGTGTTATCTCTGCAGCTGCAGGTGGCTGTGTTATCTACTGCGGGTGGCTGTGTTATCTACTGCAGCGGGTGGCTGTGTTATCTACTGCAGCGGGTGGCTGTGTTATCTACTGCAGCGGGTGGCTGTGTTATCTACTGCAGCGGGTGGCTGTGTTATCTACTGCAGCGGGTGGCTGTGTTATCTACTGCAGCGGGTGGCTGTGTTATCTACTGCAGCGGGTGGCTGTGTTATCTACACTTAATGGTGACCTCTACTCTGGGCGTGACACCCACTGCTCTGACCTCTTAAAAAGACCAACGAATTTTTTTTTAAACTTTTTAAGAGTAATAGCTGGAGAGTCGCCCTCCCGCCTCCATACCAGTACTCCGCCGTTTATACGTATACTCGTATGATTCAATTCATCCTTTTTTTACAAGTCAAACACAGAAATATTGACACACTTCTCCACTCTTAACATGAGAATATTAAACTCTCACCAGTGGAGGTGATGAGTGTGAAGAGATACAGTTTCGTACACTGCCAGACAGGTGGGTTGGTCCACCTGGTACAGTATACGAAACACAAGAGAGTATTTTTATCAATATTTTTCATAACCACCTCTTGTATAAATCATATTTCTTATGAACTTGTGAGAGCTAATTACAGCATGTCACTGGATTAATTTAATCTTGATACGGATAAATTTACATAACGCACAATCATATGCAATTTTCAAAGATTACTTGCTAAGCCCTGGCGAACAAACTATATATATATATATATATATATATATATATATATATATATATATATATATATATATATATATATATATATATATATATATATATATATATATATATATATATATATATATATATATATATATATATATATATATATATATATATATATATATATATATATATATATATATATATATATATACACACATACACACATACACGTGTATTTTTAATACAGTACCGACACTGTTCACGAGCTTATTTGTACCTATATCAACAAGTTAATTCAGATCAGTAAAAATTAAGTACTAATGTGATCATACAAGAAGATAGTCGTACACCTTACAGATCACCCAAATTGTCAGTTCGACATACAGTATTGCATTCTTCCCCAAATTGGCAAATTATCAAAATTCTTGCAAAGTTCTCAAAAATATGTAAGCAAATTTAAAAATTTTCTTTCGTATTAGTTTCTTTAACCAGCCACCAGATGTCTTCTTCCTATCAAACTGAAATATTGCAACATTTTCGCAAGAATGTTTCAGACTAACATTTCATCTTTTATAAAACTTTCCTCAATTTGCGGGACAAACTTTAATATACACCGTCACACGCCTTCCTCCTTCTCTAACTGAATATTTACACAAAATATACAAATTAAAAAAGAGATAGAGAAAGAGATTGTATTTGCAAGTAAATAAAGGAACCTCACAAAGCCTTCAGTAAAGTATATACACTTTCACAAAAAAAAGTCAAAGCAAAATGGTTCTCCCTCCGTACATCATCTCATAAAAATGCATCAGCGGCAAAATTTCATTAAGATAGTTTGAGTGATTACGCTGATACTCGGGCACGACAAAATAAATAAAAAAAATAAAAAAAGTGCAAAATTCCACAGTAGTTCACATTTTTCATTAAAAGTACAAATCAAAGTATGAGGAGTTGACATTCTGAAACTACATTAAAAGTACAGACATCACTTAAAAATGAATTATGTAAATATGTCTTTACTATGAAATACAAACTTAAAGTGTGCTGCTCTCCTCCATGAAGTCAAAATCACCGAGACATTTGTTCACATTTCTTTAGTTTTCTTCCGAGTTACATTTAAACTGAAAGTCAATTAAGTGAAGGAGGTACACAGTACATGTTGAGGTGTGATACAGCGCCACGCCACCTGACAGAGTACAACCCCGAAATTTTCTGCTCCTACACACTCCTCCTCCATCTCAGCAGCTATCATCCTATACACACTATCATCCATACACCACTATCATCCACCCTTCAGTATCATCCTATACACACTATCATCCACCCTTCAGTATCATCCTGTACACACTATCATCCATACACCACTATCATCCATACACCACTATCATCCTATACACACTATCATCCATACACCACTATCATCCACCCTTCAGTACACACTATCATCCATACACCACTATCATCCATACACCACTATCATCCTATACACACTATCATCCATACACCACTATCATCCACCCTTCAGTATCATCCTATACACACTATCATCCATACACCACTATCATCCACCCTTCAGTATCATCCTGTACACACTATCATCCATACACCACTATCATCCACCCTTCAGTATCATCCTATACACACTATCATCCACCCTTCAGTATCATCCTATACACACTATCATCCATACACCACTATCATCCACCCTTCAGTATCATCCTATACACACTATCATCCATACACCACTATCATCCATCCTTCAGTATCATCCTATACACACTATCATCCATACACCACTATCATCCACCCTTCAGTATCATCCTGTACACACTATCATCCATACACCACTATCATCCACCCTTCAGTATCATCCTATACACACTATCATCCATACACCACTATCATCCACCCTTCAGTATCATCCTATACACACTATCATCCATACACCACTATCATCCATACACCACTATCATCCTATACACACTATCATCCATACACCACTATCATCCACCCTTCAGTATCATCCTATACACACTATCATCCATACACCACTATCATCCACCCTTCAGTATCATCCTATACACCACTATCATCCATACACCACTATCATCCATCCTCCACACTATCTACGGCAGGTCTCTTCACTTTGTCTATTCACCTTCTTTGTCTACAGGCCTTCTCTCTGCCATGTTGTCTTTGTTACCCTATCCCTTTATATTCGGGGTGTGAAGTGATAGTGGTAGTGTTGATAGTGGTGATAGATATTGGTGATGGTGGTGGTGATGGGCGTAAGCAGGAGGGTGGTGGTGATGGGGTCAGGATGGGGTGGTAGAGATGGGAGTCTCAGGAGGGCGGTTAGTGATGGGAGTCAGCAGGGCGGTGGTAGTGATGGGAGTCAGCAGGGCGGTGGTAGTGATGGGAGTCAGCAGGGCGGTGGTAGTGATGGGAGTCAGCAGGGCGGTGGTAGTGATGGGAGTCAGCAGGGCGGTGGTGTGGTAGTGAGTGGGGAGTCAGCAGGACGGTGGTGGTAGTGAGTGATGGGAGTCAGTGATGGGAGTGGCGGTGGTAGTGATGAGAGTGAGCAGGACGGTGGTAGTGATGGGAGTCAGGTAGGGCAGTGGGAAGTGATGGGAGTAAGCAGGAGTGATGGGAGTCAGCAGGACGGTGGTAGTGATGGGAGTCAGCAGGACGGTGGTAGTGATGGGAGTCAGCAGGACGGTGGTAGTGATGGGAGTCAGCAGGACGGTGGTAGTGATGGGAGTCAGCAGGGCGGTGGTAGTGATGGGAGTCAGCAGGGCGGTGGTAGTGATGGGAGTCAGCAAGGCGGTGGTAGTGAGGGTAGCAATAGAGGCACATGTGTCCAGCAGCAGGCAGCTCCACGCCCTGGCCTGGCCTGGCCTGGCCTGGCCTGGCCCAGGTGGCCTCAACAGATCAATACAACTGTTACAAATAAACTCCACATCCAAAATTCAGCAACATCCAGCGTTATGTTTTTGTGTAGCGGGCGAGGATTAGGTGGGCCGTAAAGCTGCGGGCTAGAGGGGCCCCCATAAAGCCCGGCTATCATTACGGCAGAAACATTGGCGGTGGTAAATATGGCGACGACAGGGATAACGTATGACCAGAGTTACTGCCTCTCTCTCTCCCCCCTTCCCCCCACACTCCCTCCCTCACCACACCTGAACCACTCAAAAATACACATAAACTCCTGCTTCTTGTATTATAATATTTAATGGAGGTTTCAGAGGTGTTTCAACTTACTGAGAGGTCGTTCAGGTAATGGATTTCAAGACGGATGGAGTGTTGGTGACTAGGCAAGGTAGGAGGAGAATTTCTCCGGGACCTTAAGTGCCATAATGCCCAACTGGACGTGTGTAGTGCCGCTCACTGAAGACCACTACTATCCAATACTACTACTGCCACTATCGCCACCACTCCTATACCTCAACGCTACCACCATCACTACCTGGCACATCATAATTACCACCACAACCACCCCCTACCCCTTCAACACTATCACCCCTATCACAACTCAACACCACCACAACCTACCACAACAAACATCTTCACTATCACTTCCATCACCACTACCACCATTATTAAAAATGTCATTACCACCTTCAAAACTACGTCAACCAAACCACTACCTAAGCTACTAACTATCCTCAATACAACAAACATCATAGCCACGACTACAATCATCATCACACTATTTAGTACACCACCACGAAGACGACCATCACCAGCCTGCATGATACAAGTACACATTTTGGGGGTAGGTGGGCGGGAGGAGGTACAGGTAGGTGGGCGGGTGGAAGGAGGTGGGTGGGAGGCAGTAGACAGGGCGGTGTTGGTAAGCGACGGTCGGTATCAGGGTGCCAGTTGGGTGTGGCAGAATGAAACAGGTGGGGTGGATGTCAAGGGTGGATGAAGGTAACACACACACACACACACACACACACACACACACACCCATCTAAGTTATTATATGTCTTATTTGTGTCACTTATGTTACTTGTATATTATTTGTAATTCGTAACCCATTCCCCAAATATGTAACTGTAAATTTTCAGCCTTCTGGCTGCCAAGCTCTTTCAATAAACCGTTAATTATTATCACACCACCCACCCACCCACCCACCCACCCACCCACACACACACACACACACACACCTTACAAACAGTGACACACCACACGGAGGAAGGCACTGAAAGATGTCACTTTTACGCACCTTTTAACTCTTCCGCTGTACTACCCTCTAATGACTTCTAAATTGTTAAGGTCTTTACAACCGCCGTACTTATAGGCCTATTAACTGCATCCAATCTTTTTTTACCACGCAATATGTGCCCAGAGTAATGCGTATCTTTGAGTCTGTCTGTTTGGCTCTTAATCTAGTACAGTGTTCTTTGCATGTTCGTCTGATTGTGCGTTAGTCTAATCGTTTCTTGGCCTGATTGTGTCATGGTGTGTTTACATGTCTGTACCTTTGTTTGTCTGTCGGTCTGAGTAAATATTAAATCTGTGTAATCTTACTGGTTCTCAAGGTCTCTAGTAAACACTATTTTATTGCTGTCGTCATGTATTCGCGGCAAGACCACACAAGAGTGGGAAATGGCTGTAAAACTGTGATGATGATGATGATTATAATCTATCGTTTCAAACATTGACGCAGGACCTTCCACCACATAGTACGACACGGAGGACAACCCCCCCCCCCCCTAGTGTGTTGACGCCAAGCAGACTGTGATCTTGGCGGGAGTGGGGCCAGGTGGAGGTCATCCGTGGCAACACAGTGCTAACCTTCTCTCGTCAGTCCCGATAGAAAATAGGGAGTAAAAATCCGTTATGTTTATTAGTTGGAAAAAAGTTATTTGTGGAGCCATAGCAGTCCAGGAACAAATTATCAGGGCGTCGGGTAAGTTTATGCGACGATTAATCTGACCCCGGCGACCAAATTGCTAAAATGGGATTTAGGATACTAAAAATTACACCCACTATTCATTTCAAGACACCTATTTCCTTTTTTTTCAACATACACACTCACAGTTCACAGTTCTTTGTGTAGGTTGGTACCACGCAGAGCAAGTGTTATGTAACTGTTTCGCCACTAGGTTGTGATATACCGTGGCAGGTAGAGGATGAGGGAGACTCGTATTGTCACCACCACCACCTCTCTCCTCCAGGTCCTCCCTCACACTGCCTCCAACACCTAATGATAACCACCCCCACCCCTCTCTCTCTCTCTCTCTCTCAAATCCTCATCATACGACATTCATATCTCTTAACAACTTGTGATGAAAACGCATAGTAATTTCACTGTATTATCGCTATTTCACACTGCCCGATACATACAACAGTCAAGAAAATATAATTCATATACTTTACTTATCTATTGCTATTATACTTTGTTATTATTATTTTCATTGCTTTATGTCTTATCATTATTATTATTACATTATTATTATTATTAAAAACCATTCACACATACTTGTCAATCTGTAAACTCGTCCACTTCATTCATTAACGCAATATCTGTCTTGGTAAATACTGAATATTACTCAAGGTATTATTAGTATTATCATCATCACCAGCAATTCCTTCTTCTTGGATCACAAGTACAGTCTATACATGACATTTTCACTTACATAAAGGCACGAACGATCATGTGTGCGTGTACAACTCCAGGACCCAAGTTGGTAGTAATTATAACACCACCACTATTAAACAACTGAGGTACTGTGATAATAATAATAATAATAATAATAATAATAATAATAATAATAATAATAATAATAAAGAACCATAAAGAAATACAAAAATGAAAAAAAGATCAAGAGTGAGAAACAATATATGTATATTGTGTTGTCAAAGTAAGAGAAACAATTGAGACCCTGCAATTGTGTGTAAATGAGGGAGAAAGGCAGATCAGCAACCTGGGACTTGGTTTGGTCACAATTTTCGTGATGCCATATGGCAGCAGGGTCTACCATTAGACAACACATTATCCTTCCAATATCTTCCCAGGCGGTAGTACCTCCCTGTTTGGTAGCTGCCTACTACCTACTAGACTAGAGTGACCCAGTGTCAAGGAATAGTCCGAGAAGACCGGAAAACTCGCCAACTGCACTGGCTAACCATTACCCCGAAACACGATCCGCAAATCGATTAACATCCAGGTTTCCAATTACTGCTGGGTAGACAGAGGCAAATGGCGTTGAGAAACTTGCCCATAGTTTCACCCAGCCCGGGGATCAAACCCGGGTCCACTTGCTTGCGAGGCGAGCATGCTGATCATGAACACCACAGGTCGCCATCGAGGTACTGTAAACTCACCTGGACACACACACACAGAACTAAACAAACAATGTACTGGAAATACTTTATAACATTCAGTACCATAATATCCTGACCACTGGGGTCTGTTATACACACCCTCTGTGACCTCTACTGTGTAATCCTTTTGCACTACCGGTTACAGGATGAACATGAGATGCACAATAAACTAGACGTTGTTTGGAGCAAATTTCAATTCATTCACACACACACACACACACCTACATACTCACCACACACACAAACACACGTATTTACTGATCCACCCCACACACCACATATACACCCACCCTCACACCAAACACACACACACACACACACACACACCCTAACGCACAACCCACAACTCCACAGACACACACACACCACATATGACTGTACTGTACACGCACACACACCACATACGAGTGTTCTGTACAATACACACACACACACACACACACACACACACACACACACACACTCACGTTCCTCGCTGCTACAATTAGTTCAGAAAAAACAAATTGAAAGTTAGGTTTATTGTCTCGTTGTAACAAATATAATTGACTCGAGTATTGATCATTTCGACTGACCTAATGGCGGCAGGTCCCCGCGTACCTCACAAAAAACACCCTCGGTCACACCAGACCAACAACTTTCTAACTACTTTCTATAACGTAAGTCAGTTGAGTGAAAGTGAATTAAAGAAGGGAGGAGAGAGGAAGATATATAAACAAAGAGATAGAGATAAAAAGAGAAAGATAAACAGAGATAGAGAGATAAAGAGAGAGTGTGTGTGACCCCCTTATAAAAACAACAACAAAATAAAACACCAGAGATTGAAATGAACCTAACAAATGGCTTGAATAATCACATAATACCAAACACGGTAATAAAATGATCGCGTTTGGAAAATTTATTCACCAAATTTCATTGTTATCCAAAAACAATAGTTAATCAGGGTAAGTTAGGGTGACGGTGCCTCTGTGTGTGTGTTGGGTCGACTGGTGGTGGTGGGTGGTAGTGGTGGTTGGTGGTGATGGTAGTAATGTTTGTTGGTGGTGGAGTGATGGAGGTTGATGGAGTGATGGAGGTTGGTGGAGAAGTGATGGAGGTTGGTGGAGGAGTGATGGAGGTTTGTGGTGGAGTGATGGAGGTTGGTGGAATACCGGTGGTGATTGTAGTGGTGGTGGTTGGTGGAGTGGTGGTAGTGGGTGGTGATGCTGTCCTTAACTACTATTACTGTTGCTGTGATGGAGTGATGGTGGTTGGTGGAGTGGCCTCAGTTTTAATACATCCCAGTTCTAATTCATCCCAGCTCTAATAGGTCCCAGAGCTAATAGATCCCAGCATTAATAGACCCCACTCCTAATAGACATCCAAAAATATCCTTTGTCGTCGTGGCTCAGTTCTATTCTGCCCAAACTCGGTACTTGTTAAGATCAGTACAGACGCAGGCGAGCATCACCCACCTCTTGTACTATTTCTTTCCTATTTCACAAAGGTTAAAACACTCAAAATGACAAAGAACAATAATCTTCGTAAGGAAAGAAAAATAATACTTAGTAAAATAAAAAAAAGTAAGCGTGACTATGATTAAGAGATACAGTAGTGGCATTTATTAGTATGGAAGTTTGGTAGAGTGTACTGCAGGTTGGAGGTAAGAGTGTGTGTGTGTTGTTCCTTCACTCGACGCTCCAATTGTTGTGTC